AGAACAACTGCAGCTCATGGAATCTGCTTCCCTATGATCTCATCAATCTGTAAATTCAGAGCTAGAAGTTTAATATGTATTTGATTTTAAAGACTATATCCTCTCTACTTCTAGTACCCTAACCTATACATCCATGTGTATGTGTATCGTTCACATGCAGTCATAATTTTGACCACATATTATTAGGGGGTGTGTGTAAGTGTGTGTCTGCATGCACATGCATGGCTCTTGGGAATGAACCTAGAACCCTTCTGCATCTGAGGTAAGTGCTCATTATCCAACTATATTCTAAACATCATTTTAATCTTCATTTTGAGGCAGGATCTCAATATAAACTGCCAGGAAAGACTTGACCTACCCTCAACAACCCAAGAATGACTTGAGCTTATGATCGTCTATGAATATACGATCATATTAGTTATATAAAGACTTAGGTTGATTTTACAATACTTCTGTGAAAGTGTGTTAGCAAAGTCACTGAGCAGAATACAATAACATGAATTTCTTTGCACACTACTGAGTGCTCCTTATATGTACAATTGACATTTTGTCTTAAAGCAGATGGGCCTGATAGCACCCTCTTGTAATCCTTGTCCCTCAGGAAGAACTAGGTGGAGCAGACACTCAAGTGTTCTGAGGATTGGAGAACAGAATATCAAAACCAGAACTCTGTCACTCAAGTGGGAAACGGCAAGTGACATCTTTACTGAAGACCTGAATGACCAGGTAAAGGCAGTCATGCAAATATCCACGAGGGAACAGCATGAGTGTAAGGGAAAAGATGTCAATCAATTCTGAGAAATGTCAGGAAAAGCTGCATCGGAGACGAGGACAGAGATAGAGGGTGGACACCCCACTGCATCTTGGAAGGCCTGATAAAGGTCTGGATTTTGTTCTGAATGTGAAGAGACAACTTGACTTAAAGAGAAGCTTCCCAGGCAGCAAGAAAAGTGAGGAGGGGCAGGTGAGTTAAGAGGGTACTGCAGGGCACAAGCAGGAAACAGATTTGAACTAAGGTAGTACCAGAAGAGGTGACATCTTTTGCTACCTGGAGACCCTCACATAAATCTTCAGGTTGGTTTTACGTTGTAGGGCTGAGACGGTCACTAAGAAAGTGCGTGATCAGGGGTGTGAAAGGAACAGCTCTTTGGCAGCTTAGCAAGAGCCCACCCTCACTGGACCGTGCTTGTGAAGCAGACTGCATGTCTGCGAGCCTTTTCTAAGCACAGGGAATCAGATAGTTTGGAATTTGTTTCCATGCAGTCACTGTTTTTGATCACACAGTAAATAAATAAGACAAATGGGACAGAAATTTAAAAATGTGTCTTTTAATGCAGCTGCCTCTAAATTTAGTATGGACTCAAACCTTGCCACATTCTACTTCAAGCCAATAAATGGAATTTTTTCAATGCGTGAAACCTTTAACAAGTAAAGATCTCTAAACCCAAAACTTGAAAATACACACAAATAGTGCAAGTAGTTTTACTGTCTGTAGTGATGACGTAATGTGAATGTCACACATGGGCTCATATATTTTAATACTGGCCCCCAGCTGGTGGAACTGTTTGGGAAGGATTAAGAGGCACGTCCCTGTTGGAGAAGGTGTATGGCTGGTGGTGGACTTTGAGGTTTCAAAGGCCCATGCCATTCTTAACATCTCGTCTCCTGATTGTGTTTCAGATGTAAGCTCTCAGCGACTGCCTGACATCCCTGTCTACCTGCTGCCATGCTCCCTGCTGCAGTGGTCGTGGTCTCAACCCTCTGGAACTCTTTTATATGCTGCCTTGGTCATGGTGTTTACAGTAATAGAAATAACAATGAAGACACTGTGACATGAACCTCCCTGCACTGTGCTGCCTCAGTACCTGATACTGAGATGTGAGGTGCCTACATCAGGAAGTATAAAAGCAACAAGAGAGTACATGATTTATGGAAAAGAACTACTAAGAATAAAAAATGCCTATAATAAATTAAAACTTTAAAAGGTAATTATCTTAGAAAATGGGGAAATAAAGAAAAGGAGGATTATTAGTCTTAAAGGAAAACTAATATATGGCATTTCTTTTCAAAAGCACTCAATTTCAATCTTTGAGATTTTAAATTATTTCAAACACTTTAGGCATCTTGGTGTTAGGACAGGGACATCAAAGAATGGAGTCCTTATACTAGCAACAGCAGCTTAGTTCTGAATCCCATTTGAAGCACAAGTAACAGCTACTCAGCAGCATGCTGAAGAGGACCAAAGGAGATTAAGTTCTACAGATCCCAGAGAACACTCACAGCTGTGGGACTATCAGCACTTCCTTTATCTCCTTTTCCCTTCTCACAAGCAGGCACTCACTGTGCTGGGTTGCCTGGACAGGGCAGTCTGAAGAAAGGAGACTAAGCTCGCAGCAGTGAGCATGGCAGTCACGCCAGCTTTGATCAGCAGTTTCTAAATGTAATCCTTATTTTCCTGGACTGTGTAACACCCTTGAGAAGGGAAAATCTTCTGAGATTCTCTAGCTTAGCTAGCCAGTAATATTTACATAAAGAGAACACACTTTACAAGATTAAAAGGCATTAAGTATACTTTGGATCAAAAAAAGGGGGCTAGAGAGGTAGCTCAGTTAGAAGGCACAGGGTTCAGTCTCTATCACAAACAAAACCCACAGGGACAATTCACATACTGTGCTTTAAGACCAAGGATTGATAAATCAATGTATTACAGGGTAAGATTTACCCTTTTACCAATTATTGCTTATTGACTTCACTTGTGGTACTGGGTAGTACACACACACACACACACACACACACACACAATATAATATAATATATAACATATAAAACTTTTATAACTTTCACAAATTGCAGCCAAGTTCCGAGTCTCTCTGCAGCAGGGTCTGGCCTGCTGTTCCGCAGCGAGAGCTTTAAAGATGCTCAGTGCAGCCGTGCTCCACAGAGACAGCAGCCCACCACAGAGAAGCAACTGCAACGTGCATGTCCTTTTGGGTACCTCACACACAGCCACCGCCAGGAAGGCCTGAATACTCTCACAGCCGCAAAGGAAACAGAGCTACTGAACACAGAAAGGCTACCAGCATGGCTCTCCTCTGCACCACTTCAGGAAGCTTGGTCACATTCAATCTTGGCAAAATTTCTCACACTACAAAACATGAGTGAACTGAAACCATCATTCCAAAATGAAGGAAACAGCCCATTTAATAATCCATTCTCTAGATGACATTTAGCTCCACCACTCCTTCTCTACAGTCGGTCATCCTCATTCTGTCCCTTTCCTCGTGTGTTCTGTAACAGATCTTACAGTCCTGATTTTTAAAGAAGGTGTAAGGCTCTGAGGCGTACCTCAGCTTTGAATTCAACTCTAAACCTCCAGGGCCCACTTCCTCCTTCTTCACTTGCCATTCTCACATCTCCTAGCACCTCAATGAATGAGGCAGCTGTCAAGGAGGATTCCTACCCAGCCTCAGGATGCCACGTCCAGGCACACACGCACTTGAGCACACACATGCAAATGCACACACTCAGGAGCACACACATGCAAATGCACACACTCAGGAGCACACACATGCAAATGCACACACTCAGGAGCACACACATGCAAATGCACACACTCAGGAGCACACACATGCAAATGCACACACTCAGGAGCACACACATGAAAAGGAGGAAAAAAAGAATTTCTAAAGGAAAGCATCTATTCAGGAAAAGAGACGAAGGCTGAAGGTATCCACTCCAGTGTTCACTAGACAACCTACTCAAGTTTCTGTGAGGGTCAAGGAAAAAGGATGCCACTGAGGATGAAACCGATGCAGCACATCTGAATTATCTTGCATCTCATTCATCTGCATCACCAATCATTCCCAACCCTGCTATAAGAATGTTTTGTTGGAACAGGCACTCTATAGTACACCACTTTTCCACCAAATATCTTCCAATATCTCCCCACACACATTTAGAGGCTGAGCACATCAGGCAGTTCTTGGCCCTAGTACACAGCAACACACAGGAAAAAAAAAAAAATCACTGCCCTCCTGGACCCCAACTTTCCAGCAAGCAAATGCAAATGATTTAAACACAAATTTGCAGCATTTTTAGATACTATAGTTATAAGGTAAATCAAAAAAGACAAGAGGAACAGGGAGAGTCCAGGACAGGCTAAGAATTTGATTTTTAGATGGTTATTAGTGCTTGTGTACCTTCCTATTTTTTTTTTAATCTCTACATTTCTATTCTTTCTAAGCATAAAATTACAGAGAGAAATGTATTCTAACAAGTTTCTGTTATAGAGAACCTATGGATAATCTCAAAAATTACAATTTTAATAACAGAATGGCTATTGTTTAACTTGTATAAGACTGTATCATACAACTGCATTCTACTAATTTCCTAAGCTTATTAAAAATCCTGTTGATTAATTTGCTGAGTTTGGGTAGGAACAAATACCTTTCAATATATACAACTGTTGGTCATCTATACTCCAACAGTGGCTGGAAAAGTCTGTATAGGTTTTGTTTTTCCTTTCTTCAAAGCTTTGGCTGTTATGGTCAACTACCTCCCAGGGAAGATAATCTGCTCTCTTACCTCATGGTAAGTTGATAGGCTCCATATGAAGGCAGGTTTATCAAACCAAGCACTCTGTTAACTGTAACACAATCTACCTACCTTGATCACAGTTATTCTAAGATATAAAAACATTTCCAAAGTTTTAGGTGCTTTCAAATTACTTGTGTGATGACTCTCCTTGGAATTTTAATGAACCAAATATTATTATTATTTTTTTTTTTTTGGTTTTTTGAGACAGGGTTTCTCTGTGGTTTTGGAGCCTGTCCTGGAACTAGCTCTTGTAGACCAGGCTGGTCTCGAACTCACAGAGATCCGCCTGCCTCTGCCTCCCAAGTGCTGGGATTAAAGGCGTGCGCCACCACCGCCCGGCCTGAACCAAATATTTTTAAAAGCAGGAATATTAGGACTTCTATACCACTCCCCTTTAAAAATACCTCCATGGTGATGTGACAGGCTCCCTCCATTGGCAAGGATTTCATCTCTAGCAGCTGCCTGTAAATGGAAACAACACACAATGTTGTTGCTATCTGGATTTCACTTTGGAGTGACCAAGTGTACTGACTTCTTCCCAGATGCCCAGGAAGGTGCCAAGCAATGTTCATGACCCCTGCATCCATTCCCACTGCACAGTCAGCAGCATTCTATGGAGCACAGCTCTCAGTCCAAGCACAGGGATGGGGGGATAAGAGGGAAGGAGGGAGAAAAAAAAAATCACCCCAAGTTTCTGTTTTGTCCCCTTGTTTAACTCCTAACATGCTAAGCCCTAACTATCTTTATGGCATGTACCTGTGTCGAAAGATAAACACATTACAAAAGACAGTGAAGGAGACAGAACCTGGAGCTGCCTTGGACCTGTTTCCCTTTGTCCCTACTTAAGCTCTGGCATACTTTTGACTTTCCTTTTCTCTTTCAGTTGGAAAAAAAATTTAGGTTAGTATACGAAGTGATGAGTTTCATTATGGCTTTTCATGTATATATTTCATTACATTTTCTATTCTTAATGATTTGCTAATATTTAATAGCCACAAGGTGCATATGTCCTGTGCCGTGAGCTTCTCAGACATACTCATGTCTATAAAGCTATCAATGGTGGCTGAGGCAGAAGACTGCCCAAGTGGAACATATGGACTACACCTCATTGCAAATTACTGTGAAGGAACCAGAGGTCTTGTGAGCTGAGGTTTCCTATGTAGTCATAAGTAGTATAATTATATACTAGTCTTTGCTCTAGAGCTTGACATTTCTAATAAATCACTTCAAATAAAACAGCTCCATGAGATCAGGAATTAAGTGAGGAACAGAGCTGGGAAAATAGAAATCATTTCAATTTGCGGACTCCAAGAAAGGAGGTTTTGTTTGCTTTGTGTTGAAATGATGCTATTTAACCCTGGCTGGCCTGGAACTTAATTTGCAATCCAGGCTGAACATCAAGCTTGCTGCAATCCTCCTGCCTCTACCTCCCCTGTTCTTGAAAATACAAGGGTGCACCACCATGCCCAGCTAAGCAAGGCATTTTCACAGCCAGGTCAAAAAGATAGAAATATGCTCAAACCTCTGGCCAGGTGAGATTCCTCAGTGCCTAATGGCACCTGCTGCCAAGCCCGACCACCTGAATTACCCCTGGGACCTGTATGGTGGAAAGAAACAGCCAACTCCCTCCAGCTTATTCTCTGCCCTCCATGTGTGTGGCACTACATACATGCACCTGTACACACACACACACCTCCAAAAACATACAAAATATACTAAAACTTTGGAGGATGATAGGTTATCATTGGCAGATACATAATCAACTTAAAAAACTAGGGCCCCTGTGTGTCTAAGTAACACATCTACTATGGTTTCTTCTAGTTTTGTGGAGGAATCCTACGTTGCTTCTAACAAGCAATATTGCCGTCAACACCCATGTCTATTAAACCAGCAGCTGAAGGCCACTTAAGAAGTGTAATTGAAACTGCTAGCAAATGAATCCCAAGGACTTTATATACAGTCGTATCATATGAAAATTCACAAGCATGGGAATATATTAGTGACACAGACCAAGAACATGAGGGTTGCTGACCTCAAGAGCAGCTACCACCTGGTCTGCCAAAAGGACAACAAAGACCCCCGAGGACATGAAGTTCCTGTTCTTATTTAATTGACTATAATGCACTGAAAGTAACAACCCAAGAGACACAGGCTTCAGGAATACCTAACACTAACTTCAGACTGACAATTTGGTAAGTAAAAACAGTGGACTTAACATACATTTCATTTCAATGGGCTAGCAGCCAGGCAAACCACGTGTCACTAAGGTGACTCAAACTAAAATCCCTAAGTTGGCACTAAAATTTATTTAAATTAATAAAAGAACATAAAAGCCATATGCAAAATTACCTCTGTTTGCTCAAACACAGTCAGTGGGTCACTAATTCCCCTGTAGTTAAAGGCAAAATAGAAGTAGATACATGCACCTGCATCATACGTCTGCGTCACCCTGAAAGACAAACAGACAAAATCCCACCGGGCTCTAAATTCAGCGAAAACAGAATGAACATCTAGAAATGTCAAAGCTAAGCTCACTGGGCAATCTGCCCCAGCCACACCCTCACCCTCTAGTCAAACTCCCACTGCCAGGGAAAGGGTCATTGTTTCTCTGCAGCTGGTGCCAAAACAGGTCAACTAAGAATGCAGTGGGGGAAAAGGATTTTGTTTTCATTTAAATGTGAGTTTAGTCAAGATTGCAATACATGGCTCCACTCAGTTACTCTGTTTTATGTTACCAAAACTAGGGAAATAAAGCAAAATGTTTATACAATTCAGTGTTTTGTGGAAACACCCCGCATTCTCAGCAAGCTTGCTGAAGTTATCTACAAGTAACAGAACCTTATTTTAAGCAGCATTATCTGAAAACATTTAAAATAAAGTCAGGTAAGTACTGGTATAAACTGTTTTAACATGCACAAAGTAACCTAACAAAAACCTAACTTAGAAGGCCCTTATTTTGACAATATACCTTTTCTTCTGTTACACCCAACTTATGACAATTAGTTCTTCATGTAGGTGACAGAGAACACTATTTGAAGTACAGTCCCATTACTGTTCAAGTCTATACTCATGGATACATCTTACATTGCCACGGTGAAGAGACATGCTACACAAGTATGGATCACCCGTAAAGGCAACATCAAAAACAAGAAACTTGTTCTTCACTGGTTCATTACTGTTTAGAGCAGAAACATGAACTACACAAGGACGTGCAAATACCAAGAACTTAAATTAATTTTCATTATTTAAAAAACTACACTGATCCTAAAACACAAACAAGCTATCACCTCTGTAAAATACATAAATGCTCTGAAAACAATACCATGTGCTGGCACTTGACTGGATTCTTGTGGATCAGAAATTCTCGGCAGAAAAAAATAAATCATTGAAGGGGAGAAAAAAAGTTTCAATGTGCTAAAAGAAACTCACAAGCTCTCTACAGACAATACAGGGCACTTTACAGAACACAGGAGCAGAAGTGAGGAATGCTGACAATTTTATTCTCAGTTAAGTGACATTTAAACGGGCACACATTTTCAAACACAATTAGTATAATGTAACTACCTTTGTCATACTAGGTAGAGAAACTGGAAGAATGTGGAGATAGATAAGTTACACCAACAGCTTTATGCAGCTTAAAAACCAGAATAGCAGGTCAAGCAATAATAGTAAATACTGGTTTTTAAATTGTAAGAATCATGCTATACAACCATGTAGGATACTGATACTGGGGAAAAGGGACCAAGGCAGTATATGAAATCTGATGGTTACTGCTTAAGTCTAGAGGCGTCTAGACAATGTGCCCCTGGATAGGCCTGTGGGGATAACTGCGACTATGTCAACTGACACAGGAAAATTCACCTTAATTCAGACAGGCCCATTCCCTGGGCAGAGGAACCCGGAGTAAATGGAGAGTTGGAACTGAGCAGCAACACGCATTTATCCTGTTTCCTAGCTGTGGCTGTGATGTGAGCCTCTCCCGGAGGCCCCTGCTGCCTTGACCTGCTCACCATGAAGGGTTATCTCAAACTGTGAGCTAACGCAAAAATCTCCATTCTTAGGTTGCTGTTATCATAGTATTTTATCACAGCAGCAGGACAAATACCAACACAACTATACTATTCTGCAACTTTTGTAAATCTAGATTATTATCCCTTCAAAGTTAAACAAATTTTAAAGTAATGCAAATGCTTTTCTAGTTGACCTGAAATGAACACAACACCCATCTTCCTCAGGTGGTAAACAACACTTCCCAAACAGACTTGATGAATGTGGTGATGAGTTACAAATCTTCCGGACTTCTTAAAGTTAACAGAAAGAAACATGGTACACAAGTAGGAGAAATGCTCACACACCAAACAGGATCAGACTTAAATACAGCCTCTTCACGAAGCTCACCATCATTAGAAAGGCCTTGAAAAACCAATGAATGACGAGCTCAAATACAGTGGCGCCTATGACTCCATGTGTGTGTTGTGTGTATACAAAAGGTATCAAGGATGTTAGGTTCTTAAATCATCTATGCAATAAATATCTACATTTCAAAATGCAACTGAGAAGCATGTAAAGGGAGTTGGGACAACCACAGTCATATCTCCAAGTGCACACTATGGAGAAACAACAAAGGGCTTGATCTCACAGAATGACAGTTCAAACAGAATCTAATCTAAAATTGTAATGGTCTTTTAGGCCAAATGTTAGGTGCCTCAGAACAGAAGAAATGAACTGTTTAACAATGCTATGTCAATTTGCCAGCTGTGTGTTTTCTTCCTGTGCTAATTCACACTCATAAAAAAGATCCCTTAAACATTTACATTTTAAGTTCCAGATTTACAAGTTTAAGAAAACTGGATGGGGGCTGGAGAGACGGCTCGGTGGTTAAGGGCACTAGCTATTCTTCCAGAGTACCCTGGTTCAATTCCCAGCACCCACGTGGCAGCTCATAACTGTCTGCAACTCCAGTTCCGGGGATCTGATACCCTCACACCAACGCAGATAAAATTAAATAAATTATTAAAAAGAAGAAAGAAGAGAAAATCAGAAAGTATTTGTATTTTACTAAGAGGTACTGTGATCAGGAATAACCAAGTTTAAAACAAACGTTAAAAATAAATCGTGTGTTTATAGCAATTAAGAGTATACACTGCTCAGGAAAGAATCACTAACATCAGTACATAGAATATGTAACTAAATTTGAATAGAACATTGCTACTGTGTTGGCTAGTTTTATGTAATTGTGACTCTCATCATTTGGGAAGAGCAAACCTCAAAATGTCCCCCACAAATTGGCCTATCATACATTTTCTTGACTACTGATTGGTGTGGGAGGGCAAGCCCACTGTGGGTGGTATCACCCCTAAGCTGGTAGTGGTCCCAATTGTTATAAGAAAGCAGGTTGAGGAAACCAGTGAGCAGGACTCCTGAATCAGTTCCTGCCCTGACTTCCCCCAGTGATAATGTGTGACCTTTCCTCTCCAGGCTGCTCTGTTTATCATAGCAGTGGAAATCCTAAGACAGCCACCATTCAACAAACGCAGGACCACTAGATTACCCAGTTTAGCATTTGTATACAAGAACACTACTAAAGTCTATAGCAAATATGATGGGTCTAACTGATTTAACCAAACTAGGCCTAACTCACAGTGTAAACAATGAAAGACAGAGTGTGAAAAGATGAAACTGTTGCTAAAGAGTAGAAGGGTGCCTTCACTCTTCAATACATTTTGTCTCATAGCAACTCCTTAAAAGTGGCCATAAGAGTTGTCATGGTGACAAGATAGTAGGCAGGCGATTCCTGGGACGGAACAAAATCTCAAGTTTATTTCCCAGGCTGAAGCGATATTAATCAGAGAAACAAGCATTGCAAGCAAAAATACAGATAACCCTCAACTTAATGACAGAGTATGCAAAAAAAAAAAATCCCACTGCGAGGTGAAAATGCTGTGTGTTGGATATATCTAGTTATCAAACATGATAGCTCAGCAGACCACAACTGTGCTCACACGCCTGCAGCAGTCAACAGCTGGGAAAGTCGCCACGATGCACGCCTGTTCACAGTACACGCCTAGCCGTGTATGAGTACTGCATGTTGTACTAGACTGACAGAAGACGGTATGCTTCAGGCCCATCACCAGTCTAAGCTCCAGAGACAGGCTTCCACAGGAAACGCTTGCTCCTCAAGTATACCACACTACCTCCAAGGTAGCCCTTCAAGGTTCTTTCCTTATAATCTGAATGTCATTTATTCTCCATTTTAAATTACTTTAATACCTTTCTAGAGAGTCAAATGTTCACCTGTCTTGACACTTTTAACCTGGTGTTTACATATAAAATTAACACTGTAAGACTAGAAGTAAAGGTCCCTTCTCAGAAAAGCTTCATTTAGAGCTGCTGTTATTTAATAAAAAGAATAAAATCAGTTAACCAATCACTGTTCAATATGAAAGGTATTGATTACAAATTATTATTATTATTATTATTATTATTATTGTTTTTTGAGACAGGGTTTCTCTGTGGTTTTGGAGCCTGTCCTGGAACTAGCTCTTGTAGACCAGGCTGGTCTCGAACTCACAGAGATCCGCCTGCCTCTGCCTCCCAAGTGCTGGGATTAAAGGCGTGCGCCACCACCGCCCGGCTACAAATTATTTTTTTAAACTTAAAATATGTATTTTTTTAATTTCACACAAGCAACATTTCAATCACTTACTAACCAGTGTGGCTTGTGGCTACCACACTTAACAACAAACATATAACATATCCCTGTTACCAAAGAAACATTTATTGGAAAGCAGCGAGGTTATCACTTGAGTCTTTCACTCCTTTCATTCTTCATGCCATTCCCATGGATATAATCAATAATGAAAAGGGTTACTCGCCCCCAACACACAAATGCACACACACACATGCACACAGATAGACGGACTACTTCTACAGTTTATAGTTGTCCTCCACCTGGAGTTTGCAGCGTAAGGGAGCAGGATAGGCTTCCTCTGCCTGGGATCTGGCACACTTGCTCTGCATGGCTAAGAGGTCCTGTGAGAGCAGGAAGCTCCTTGCCTTAGGGGCTGAAGACGGAGGCACAGTTCTAACAATGTGGTGAGATGCTCAGGGAATCTGCAATGGAACAGGCCAAACCTACTCCTCAGCTGGAAAACTGTCCTTTACAGCTGCCTAGAAACAATGCTTTGGGGGCATCAGGGTGGCTCCCTGGTAAGTCAGTACTTGCTATGCACGCCAAGACTCCAGAGTGGAAGGGGAAAAGGAGCTGTGCAAAGTCCTCTGCGTGCATGTGCACACAGTGCCACACATCCACCACAGTCACAGAGCTCACACACATGTACCCACAGTCACAGAGCTCACACATCCAGTCACAGAGCTCACACATCCACAGTCACAGAGCTCACACATGTACCCACAGTCACAGAGCTCACACACATGTACCCACAGTCACAGAGCTCACACATCCACAGTCACAGAGCTCACACACATGTACCCACAGTCACAGAGCTCACACATCCACAGTCACAGAGCTCACACATCCACAGTCACAGAGCTCACACACATCCACCACAGTCACAGAGCTCACACACATGTACCCACAGTCACAGAGCTCACACATGTACCCACAGTCACAGTGCTCACACATGTACCCACAGTCACAGAGCTCACACATGTACCCACAGTCACAGAGCTCACACATCCACAGTCACAGAGCTCACACACATGTACCCACAGTCACAGAGCTCACACACATGTACCCACAGTCACAGAGCTCACACATCCACCACAGTCACAGAGCTCACACACATCCACCACAGTCACAGAGCTCACACACATGTACCCACAGTCACAGAGCTCACACACGTGTACCCACAGTCACAGAGCTCACACATGTACCCACAGTCACAGAGCTCACACATCCACAGTCACAGAGCTCACACACATGTACCCACAGTCACAGAGCTCACACATCCACCACAGTCACAGAGCTCACACATCCACAGTCACAGAGCTCACACATCCACAGTCACAGAGCTCACACACATGTACCCACAGTCACAGAGCTCACACATCCACCACAGTCACAGAGCTCACACATCCACCACAGTCACAGAGCTCACACACATGTACCCACAGTCACAGAGCTCACACATCCACAGTCACAGAGCTCACACATCCACAGTCACAGAGCTCACACACATGTACCCACAGTCACAGAGCTCACACACATCCACCACAGTCACAGAGCTCACACACATCCACCACAGTCACAGAGCTCACACACATGTACCCACAGTCACAGAGCTCACACATCCACAGTCACAGAGCTCACACATCCACAGTCACAGAGCTCACACACATGTACCCACAGTCACAGAGCTCACACACATGTACCCACAGTCACAGAGCTCACACATCTACCACACAACAGAAAAGCTTAAAAGCAGTGCTTTCCAGAATAATCTGTCGATAGCTGTGGAACTCACCTGCATGTAGAAAGAGGTGCGAACTGAACACCCTTTTCTTTGCATTCCCTTCTTATCCTCTCTTTGACATTTCTACACAGATCTATAACCCTAGAAAAGACAATTGAATGTACCAATAGGTATTTTTTCTTTTTTTAATTTTAGTTTTTTAATTTCATTTTACATTCCATCCATAGTTCTCCCCCTCACGTCTCCGCCCACGCTTCCACTCCACCCCCAACCCCCCCAACAGGTAAGGGCTCCCATGGAAAGTCAACAAAATCTGGCACATTAAGTTGAGGTGGGACTAAACCCCTTCCCCCTTTCCACCACAGGGAATGGGCTCCAATAAGCCAGCTCATGCACGTGGGACAGATCTTGCTCCTTCTGTCAGGTTCTCAAAGATATTCTGAGCTTCACCATTCTCCCACACATGGAGGCCTAGTTCTTATGCTATTTTTTATCAGTTCATGTATTTATATATTTATTTAACTGGCTGGCCTCCACAGTTATAAGATGAAAAGGGAAGAGAACATTGGCAGGTAACAAGGAAGTTAGTGACAAAAAAGCGCTAACACTATCCTAATCCATCTTCCCAGTGACAAAGGACTGGAGGTCTGAGTCTCCTCAGAATGCACAGACTAGAATCTTCCCTTTCACACCATGTGATGTCAGGAGTCAGGGCCTTGACCTCTGGCAGGTCGTTAGGTCACGAGGGCAAAGTCCTAATGGATGGAATTGTTGTTATGTTGTCGAGAGAGACGAGAAGGATTGCTTTCAGTCACATGAGGACGAACGAGAAGGTGGCTTTTCATAAACCAAGAGGGCCTTCAGCAGCAAACCCAGATGCCCAAAGGCCCCTGATACTACATTTCAAGGTGAGAGGAAAAATATCTGTTTAAACCATGGAAGCCAGCCAGGCCATGGCAGTTTATGTAGCAATCCATACTGAGATGTTAGTCAGGAGTGGTATGATGGGACTGAAGTCACCACTGATAACCTGACATGAGCTGCCTGCCTGCCTGCTCCAAAGGGATCAACGGTAATCAGGTAGCAATTTTTATTTTTAAAATTCAGTCCCCTTGTTAAAATGTACTTTAAAAAATTGTAATTAAGGAGGGGTGTGATGGAACGTGAATGTAATTAAAACAGCAGAGACTGAGGCAGAAAGATCACAAGCTCTGTCTGGGCTACACAGCAGTTTCAAGGACAATCAGAATCATACAGATCATCTAAAGAAAAAAATTCTGCACTTTTTGGAGAGAGAATAACTGAGTGATCCTATAGAATGGGTTTATTTCAAATAATTCTTGGAATTTGACTACCAGTACACCAAAAGTCAAAATCCACAGCAGATTAAGATAAGGTGGAAAAGACAAGTGGTTTCTAGAGGAAAAAAATCAGGTGTGAGGAAAACAAGAGGGTAAATATTTAATGCCTACATAGCGGGTTCAGAAACCCACATAATGCATTTTCTATCATGTGTTTTAGTGCCAAATTTTGCTTAAACTTAAAAATAAAAATTATGATTAACATCTTAAACTGAATTTCTTTCAGAAATTATTTAAATGCAGGTAAAGATCTAGTTAAATCTACAGAGAGAGAGAGAGAGATCAAAGCTAAATGAGACATTCATTACAAAAGAAGTCAAAGAGATTTAATAATTTGGGGTGGGGGAGATAGATTTAAAAAGAACATTTAAGCATAATAAAATCACCTAAGCTAAGTCAAACTACGCCACAGTGTTTTGTGTTTGTTCAGTAAGTCTTCAAAACATTGACTTTAATACACTTGTTTGTAGAATTCCAAACAAACCGACCTTAATCCAAAAAAGAGGCGGGTAAAGGTTGAAAACAATGGTATTCAGATCGTGATACTAATTTAAATAAGAGTACCTTCCTTATTTCAATGTTTCTTATAAAAATTTTAAACTTTCCATATTCACACCCAGACAAATTACATACCCGCATAAATGTATCAATTATAAAGTATATCAGGGTAAGTCTTTTTTAGGTTTTACCTGTCCCAAGGAGCAGAAGTCTCAAAAGATTCTCCTACTACATAGTATTCCAAACCCAAATCCTGTAAAGACACAAAAATCATGAAATTACAACCAGTGCACCAATTGATAAACCACTAGAATTTCTGCAAGTTGTTAACAGTGCACCTCTGATCTAGCCTAACCTACTGTCTGTCTCATAAGAACACTGGAAAGTTTCCAAGTGTGGCATGACCTCTCTGAGTGTGGGAGCCTTGTGTGTGCTGCTCTCCACAGCCTCAGCAGCAGTTAAAGCATCTGTCACAGAAAAGGAACCCTAGTACTTCCCTAGTGGATGGAGTCTCGGAGTCTCTCTCCAGGAACAGTTTCTGCATGTGTGGAAGAGATTAGAGAACAGATGTTTAGTGGACAGAACAGTAAAACAGCCAATATTAAAATTGAGCAACAAGGAGAAAGGAACAAGAGGTAAGACAGTGTGTGGTGCTGCTGCTGGTGAGGAGGGTGGTGATGGTGGTGCTGCTGCTGGTGTTGCTCCTACTGATGCTGATAGTGATGGTGTTGCTACTGCTGGTGGTGCTGGTGGTGGTGATGGTGGTGCTGGTGCTGCTCCTACTGATGCTGATAGTGATGGTGTTGCTACTGCTGGTGGTGCTGCTGCTGCTCCTACTGATGCTGATAGTGATGGTGTTGCTACTGCTGGTGGTGCTGCTGCTGCTCCTACTGATGCTGATAGTGATGGTGTTGCTACTGCTGGTGGTGCTGCTGCTGCTCCTACTGATGCTGATAGTGATGGTGTTGCTACTGCTGGTGGTGCTGCTGCTGCTCCTACTGATGCTGATAGTGATGGTGTTGCTACTGCTGGTGGTGCTGGTGGTGGTGATGGTGGTGCTGCTGCTGCTCCTACTGATGCTGATAGTGATGGTGTTGCTACTGCTGGTGGTGCTGGTGGTGGTGATGGTGTTGCTACTGCTGGTGGTGCTGCTGCTGCTGCTACTGCACTTTTTTCATATCAACTTTTATTTAGAAGCAAATTTAGAAAATACAGCTAGGTATGGTGGTTCACAACTTTAATCCCAGCACTTGAGTTGCAGAGGCAGGCAGATCTGAGTTCAAAGCCAGCTCAGTCTACAGACAGAGCTCCCAAACAGCCAGGACTACACAGAAAAACTGTCTCAAAAAATCAAACCAATCAAACATAATAAATAAACAAACAAATAAATAAATATAGTAAGAACAATCACTTCAATTCCACTAAGTGTTGAGAGGACACACCTCCATATCTAACTGATCTAAAGTGTGTGTTCAGTGGTTCAGTCCATGTGTCTAGGACTCATTCCTGTGACGGTGGGGGTATGCACTAGAGAAAGGTTTTAAAGAACAAAGCAAACAGGACTGGCAAGGCAGCTCAGTGTAAGGCAGCTGTCGCCAAGCCTGAGGACCTGAGTTTGAAGACCCACAGGGTAGAAGACAGAGCTGCATCCGGCAGACTGTCGTTCAGATATGCTATGATCTATGCATCGTCACATGTACATATTCAAACACAAAACAAATCAATGTAAGGGGAAATGTAAAGATAAAGCAAATAAATTTATGGGAAAAGATCCCTAAACTTGTTTTTGTATTGGCCTCAAAATTAACTGGAAACTTACAGTCTATTCCCCCAAAGGACCTCATGCTATACTTATTACAGCTACATTAATTTTCTACAATTCTGAACTCAGCATTGTGGGAAATACACCTATCAATATATATCCCTCAATGTACCCAGAGAAAATATCTGATTTTATAAACATCTCCTCTAGGAAGATCCTGGGTAGTGACAGTCTACACAGATGGCCCAGTCATCTACTCCTCACATGTTCTGCATATCTCCTGGTCAGGGTTCCTAACAGAGGGAACAGGCAGTCAGCCTGCTTTCCCAGTAAGAATTCCCCAGGGGTAGGGCAAATGACTCTTCACTACACTATGAAAACAGACCTTGAATGAAAATTGAAATTTATGCCCTGGCAATGCTGAAGCATGCATGGGTAGCCTGAATATGGTAGTCCTGTTGAACTTGTCATATTAAGTTGATGAGGGTGGCACATGCTGGTAGGAAAACAGATCTTAACTAGGAGTAAATTATCCTGAAATGAGAACATTTCATGCCTTTAGAGAACAATAAAAAAATGTATCTTTTTATAAACGTTTCCCTCAAAACTATTTCCAACTGGAAAATTAGAAAATCTGTAACTTGGGAAAGTCAAACTTTCAGTAAGGCAACCAATGGATCTTTTTAGATAAGATCATTAAAATCACTAACAGTTAAACTTTAAAATACATTAAGTAAAAGTAACTTCAGCCAGAAAACAGTGTCTATAAAAGCCAAAGTAGAACAAATGAAAAACTACAAACTCAAAAGGCTGGTTTATAGTGGCAACCGCAACAGACTTGAAGTCAATGTGAGCAATGGCATCTCTCATAGGCAGAGTCCATACTAAGAAAGTCTGCAGTGTTCACACAGTTTCTGACTTCTGAACCAGTGGCTACCTGGAATTATGTATCAATTTTTAAAGAAAAGATAAAGATTTATAAATCCTTATGATGGATCATACATCAACTAAAGACCATTGCTACACAGAACAGCTTAACTCCAACCCAAGCAATGTTAAGAAAGGCAAACTGGCCTTCAGAGGTAGAAAGACATTAAATCCCCTGTAAGTTCCTCAAAAGCACATACCAAAGTTTTAAAGGGGCTTCTAAAAAGTAAATTTAAAGCAAAATAAAGTAAAAAAAAAAAAAAGTAAAGAGGCAACTAAAAGTAAATCCAGGCTTTTTCCAGTAAAATGGTGTGCTTAATTACAGTAGCCGAGTACTTATGAAGATAAGCAAGGAAGACTGAAGTCTGTCTGTGCCCTAAGTCAGTGTGGTGGTCTGAAGGAGAATGGCACCACAGTGTCATACATTTGAATGCTTGGTCCCCAGTACACAGCACTATTTGGGAAGGATCAGGTGAGGCCTTGTGGGAAGGGTGGGAGGGGTGGGGGAGGAGGCTGTGGGTCTCAAAGGTCTATGGTTTTCCCGGGTAGCTCTCTCTACCTCCTCCTTATGGACAGAGGTGAGCTCTCAGCTGCTGCTCCACTGTCGGGCCTGCGGGCCTGCTGCCATGACAGTCACGGACTCCTCTGCAGCTATGAGTCCCAAATTAGATGTTTTCTTTTATAAGATGCCTTCCTTGATCATGGTGTTTTACCATGGCAATAGGAAAGTAATTAATGTCAGAAATACAACTTACACGCATATACGCAATGACGTAAGTCAGCAAATAACCCCTCTGTCCATTATCTTCTCCAGCTGCCAGACCACTGCAGATGAAGAACAAACGATCAATATATTTTAACTGAAGAAATAATAAAAAAGCTAAACTAACAACATCTGAAAATAACTGCTCAACAGATTAACATGGTATACTCACTTTTATCTTAATTTCACAAGTCATTAATATACCAGTTAACAAGAGAACATGCTTGAATAACAAATCTGAAAACACTTCCTTGTTTCTCTTTGTCTTTTTGAGACAGGGTTCCTCTGTGTAACAGAGCCCTAGCAGTATCAGGATTAACTGAAGAGTGGGCAAAACAAAGGATATCATTTTATAAACACAATGTTAGAGAACAAGCAAGACACAGCTCAGGTCAAATCACTCAAAGTCAAATGTTAGTTCTGGGTTGGATGTGAGGCTGAGGCAGAGAATAAAGTTCTATAACTTCTAAAGTGCTGGGCCGAGGACTTAAGGGGGATCCAGTCGGGCTCCGGGCTTAAGCAGACACAAAACAAAGTCAGTCTCTGCAACTAAAGAAGCAGCAGTTCAGGGCTAGCAGTAAAGAGTTCTCACGGGAGCTGGTAGTAGAAAGGAAAGCACAGGAAGCTGGGGGACACCTGAGCTAGGAACCACTGAGACAGAGTGCCAAAGTATATGGTGGGAACAGGTCTAGCTGCTGCGCTGGGTGACACCAAGCCTACTTTTCCTTCCCAAAGCAAGCCACTTTCCTTTCAGTTCTTTGCTACTATCTGGTGGTAAGGGATCCATTCTACACTGAGATGCAGTGAACAAACCCCATAGAAACATGCTTTTTGAAAAAATCTGGAGGAGCTACAGAAATGGCTCAGCAGGAAAGAGAGCCTACTGCCCTTGGAGAGGACCAAGTGTGACTGCTGGCACCTACACTGGATGGCTAATAACCACCTTGTAACTCTAGCTCCAAAGAAATTGTCACAAGTGCACATACACACTAGACGGACACACACAGAGACACACACACTCAAATAAAATTTAAAAAATAAAATAAAAAATCTGAAGCAAAAAACAACAATAAAAAACCCTGTAACTGGACATTCATCCTATATTCATAAGTCCTGAAAGAAAATAACGAGCAATTTGGGTTTACTTTTCATAATCACGTTTTCTTGCAAATTTAGCTTTTAAAACCACTTTTATTTTTGTTTCAGAACTGTCAATTTAGTCAAAATCAAAATTAAGATACAATATGTAAGCAATCACAAAACTCAGAAATGAAATATTTCTAAAACTGACAATTTTGCAGCTACTCCAAATATATATGTGTGTGTGTGTGTGTGTGTGTATGTATGTATGTATATATATATTTAGACTTAAATTGCTTTATTTCTAAGTAGAACATCAATCGTCTACTTCTTGTTATTCTCACAAATTTCAAACACCAATCCACAGGTTCTTAACATATTTAAAGGAGTAGGCAGCTTAATGAAGAGGAAAACCAGACTCCCATTTTACGTTAAAAAAAAATCTGGCCAAAGTAATTATTCTCATGCTGAATTACATCAAACAACTTAAGAACACTGTAAAAATAATGATGAGTCATTGCCTTATGACTACTGACAGGTGATGTTTATTCAGCTCTTGAAGGAGTAAAGGTATTAGTAATTAGGAAGAATAGAATGGGTGGGGAGGGGATTCCTACTGAGTGTCATTAACTCATTAAACAAGTTTTTAATCACACACAGAGTATGTCCTAAGAAACAAAGTAACACCTAAGGAGAGACAGGCTAAGTGTGAAGCAGAAAGCAAGGTGGTCATTTGTTGTCACTAACCTCCTGCACGAACAGCAGCGAGTGTGGCACAGTACTAGCTACCATCACCTTCCAGCCTGCTCCAAACTGCAATGGAAAGCCCTATCTCCACAGAGCTGTGTGGGTGTGCTGTGGGGCAATGGTCTTGTACCCTGTAAAGGTTTGTCAGTTGCACTGGTTTAATGCTGATTGGCCGGTAGCCAGGCAGGAAGTACAGGTGGGAAGTATAGGCAGGGCAATCAAAACAGGAGAATTCTGGGAGGAGGAAAGGCTCAGTCTGCAGTCCTGACCCAGACGCACTGATAAAGGTACCAAGCCACATGGCTAACACAGACAAGAATTATGGGCCACTTTAAGATGTAAGAAACAGTTAATAAGAAGCCTGAGCTAATAGGCCAACCAGTTTATAATTAGTGTAGGCCTCTGTGTGTTTATTTGGGACTGAATGGCTATGGAATTGGGCAGGACAGAAACCTCTGTCAACAGGAGCGCATGCACTGGGGGATTGGAGAAGAGGCAGAATTTAACACATATCTAGCAACTCAAATATTTCATTTTCATCTAATACTTCTGAAATTTTAGAAATCCCAATTAAATATTTAAATTCATAAGGATCATTTCTCAGTTTTTGTGTTAAGTAAGATCAAGTGAAATATGTAAATAAAAAATTTTTAAATATTTAGTTTCTAGTATTTCAAGCTAGAGCAGATACAGAAAAAATTAACTTAAATCTCCTTTCTGACGAATATGCTTCAGTAGTTAAAAACAAAACAAAACATGGAAAATAAAAGAATGAACTTCATCTTCTATTAAGGAAATTAAAACTCTGCTTGTAATTTCAGAATAGATCAAAAATAAAAGAGGGACTTATTTTCAAAGACAGTATCAGAATAAAGTAGACTGAATCTAAAATGAGACCGTTTTTCCTCTAAGAAGACAGTATTTACTACTAATCCCAACCCTGGAAATAAAGAGTTAAGTAGCACAGCACAAGGTGGGGCACTGCAAAGCACTTATCTCCAACGTGAGTTTCATAAGACAGAAAGAAAGGAGGGTAGATAAATGTTTGCAGAGTTCAGGACAAGCTTAACACTGGAAATGCCCTAGGCCCTGGACAGATGGGAACGACTGCTGGCTTCGGCACCTGAGAAGGGAGGCGGAACACAGCCTGACTAAGGACTCAGCCACTGGAGCTCTCCCCATCTGTCTTCTCATCCATCAGGAGACAGAAACCACCCCACCATTATTCAGTAGGTTATATGGGAAGTGTCTTCTGTTTCTTTATACCCACATAAAACAGTAAGTGACAGGGAGTGGAGTATAGGTAATTTATCAAATATCACAGACTAAACATAATTTCCTTTTTAAAACACATTAGTAATATGTTTTATACATGAACTAGTAACAAGACATTTGTTTCATTCCTACACAACAAATAACACAACACAAAGTTGTCATTCAAGCAAAAATCTAGGAAAAGCAAAATATTTAACATCATATAACATACACACACATTATGTATGTGTAAAATTAGGTCAAAGCAACAGATTACTCTTCCTACAAATTTTTGGGATAAAAATATTTTAAGCTTACTTCCATAAATCACAATGAATTTAATACAGCCTGCTGACACATACAGTCTGTACGAGGCCAGCACAACTTCAGCATACTTCCTCTTTGCTATAAACTCAAAGCCATACCCAAATTTTGCAGCAATGTCATATACTTGTTTTTCATGTTGAAGAACCTTCTCACGGTCCCCCTCGAACAGTAATGTGGCTACGCTTAGTTGATTTGGATCAAATCCTTTAAACTACAAAATATAAAATAAAGTTGTATTATTACAGAGAGGCCTTAGCTTATAAAACAGTAAAGTGAAATACATTTTGCTCTTTTTCTTCTAACATGACCTCAGGTACAGGAGCCTGTTAAGCAGTGAGCTTTGAGGCTTTCCCTGTCAATTAACAGGTGAGTGCCTGACTGCCTGACACTGCTGCAGAAGTCCACCTCATAGGTGAGTGCTTGCCTGACCTGCACAAGGTCCTGGGCTTGAGGCCCAGCACGGCAAGACAAAACATAAGTACAAATACACTGCATTTCAAAGTTCTGTGGGATTATAATCACTTCTGATACAGTAACTCAACAGGTAACCTGCCAGAATTTTAACTGTAATTACAGAAACAAATACAAATTACAGAACCAAAGAGCAAAGCATATGGGTGGAGCTAACATCTCTACAAACCAACCGTGACACATTACATAACAGTAACAAAAAGATCTTGTGCATGCAAAGAACTAAGACTAATTTTAAAAGGAAATATATCAATTCACTAGGGGAAAAAAGTAACACAGATGGTCCTGAATGCATAAATTATTTCGAATTTACCAATACTTGTACAAATTAATATACTAGACTATTCCAATTTTAATAAAAAAAACTGTACATTCGAAAAGGACAAGTCTCTAAAATTTTTCTAGAATAATGAACGTGTAATAGTGGCAACAAAGAAAATTCTAAATAATAAGAGGTAAAACTAGATTATATTTTTTTTAATTTTTCAAAAACAAAACAGAAACTATTACAAAGAATGAGCAGTATCTATTCTCAGGTAGTACAGGACATAGCAAGGGGCCTTCGGCTCAATGTAAAAAGAAGCAGGCACTAGTCCCAGTCACTAGTACTGACACAAGGGTCAGCACAGGAGAGGAGGAGGAGGTGGAGAGCAATCTAGATCTTCATCTAACAGCAAAATAGCTAAATAAAACAACAAAAACCACAAAACCTTTCACTGTCAATTAAAACAGGTAACGGAAATGCTATAGCTTAATGTCCGACCACTTGCTTAGTGTGTGAGACCCTGAGTTTTATTCCCAACACTACAAAAACAAACAAACAAAAAACTGGACAACACAAGAAAATAATGGGGGTTGGGGAGTAAAAGGTCCCTAAATACACTAGAAGAGAAAGGGCTTTCTTAGCTTAGAAGTGATTAAATAGTCCTAAGAACAGACATAAATTTAAGTTCACATAGCACCAGAATGAAAAACCCTATTAAAAAAGGGAGGTGCTTGGTTGGAAAATGTTATTTACAGAATCCATGCCAAAGGGTACTTCCTATTCCATTACTCAAAAAGGGTGTGTGTCAAAGTGCAGTGGACAAACAAGGAACCCTCCCTAGCACAACAACCACATTTAGATAGTTCACACAAAATTACACCCAGAAAAAACAGAGACAGTTCAAGCTCTCTGGCGTTTTAAGAAACATTACCTAATTAAGCAAAATAATGAAAAAAAATCTTCCAACTACAACAATAAAATGATACATTGTTGCCACGGTGGTGCACACTCTGACACACATTGTTGCCATGCTCATACACACTAGTACAACCTTTCAAAGTTCTCAGGAATAAAACATTAAATAAATAAATGAACCTAATCTCATTTCACTCCTGAGTATAACTATAAAAAAAAATTTCAACTATAGGGAATGTCGCCAGCATGAGACTGCTCAATGCAGCTGTTTTTAGACTTTAGATACAAATTGACCTGACCACACAGTTCAGTTGCTAACATACCTTTTCCCACATCAGAACACTACACCCCACGGAAAAACATCCGTATGGGAGGTGTGTATAGGGAGAAGGCAAGAAGAAAAACTTACATCCTGTACAAGTACAATTTTAGATTTTTTTTAGTCTTACCTTTGTAATATAAAACTTTTTTAATCCATCTAAAAATGATGTAAAAATAGAGGAGACCTGAGGTTTAAGAGCATGACCTAGGAAGAGAAAAAAAGTTTACAGTTTAAATTAATAACAAATTAGGTGTTTTTGAGATCAAAAGATGGCTTTAATTTAGTATTCTAAGGGAAGCAAGTCTTTACAGCTGTAATTTATATGGATGCTTTTATTAAGATCTTTTACCTCTACATTCTTTCAAGTGTGACAGTGTTTTACTTATAAAAGTCACTTCTTTTTAAGAAAAATTACTACATGTAATTAATACTATACATACTTTCAGTTATCTTTCAATGGTACAATTTACACACAGTAAAACCACCTCATTAATTTTTATTTTATTAAGAATATTCAGTGGTGGCTGGTTTTACTATCATTTTTTAATTATACAGAAACTACACAGAACCATAACCAAATATGGAGTCCATGTGAAGTTTAAGGTTGTTTCTTAATTCTTAGCTCATCCAGAATTCTTAGCATAAAACTAACAATTGCTTCCTTAATCACACTCAGGGAGTTAAAATTGCCAAAATAAAACAAACAGCATTTCAGAGTCTGTTAAATTAACATCACCGCCTGCAGATTACACTTAATTGGGTAGGAACCTTCTACTGCTTTCTCATAGTTTTCAAAGAGGAGCAACTTCTCAGCACTGGGATGGTTCCAGTTAAGTTCCACATCTGGCCTTAGTGCTGAGCACAATTTAAAAAAAAAAATCATCCTGTTTATGCAGTTTTCAAAAAAGATCCTCAAGTATTTAGCAAAACCTAAAACTGTCTTCAAAGAAAGGGTTTTTTTTTTTCTAGTCTTCTAGGGTTGAGGATTCTGAAGTATAAGATCTTCCTTTAAAAGAAATGCAAAGGACAATCTAGTTGCTCCTAAAACAATCATTACCAGCCTTTTATTCCAATTCATTTATAAGTGAGAATTCAATATATAATACCTACTCACCACATTGTTTTTCCTGATTGTAACGACAAAACTAGGTTACATGAAAGACTAAGTAAAATAGGTCATACATAGAGACTAAGAGATACCCATGCTACGGCTACAACAGGGAAAAACTGAGAGACACGCAAGGTAGCAAACAAAAAAAACCAACTGTGGGGTAGATAGAAACCGTCTTAGTGGTGTTTATGAGTCCCAGAATCAAAATCTGATTTGTCTAGAAACTTTTTTCTTTCCTATAAGATATAAAAGATGTTTCTCCAACAAAACTATATTTTAAAGATAATTTAAGTATCTATAAACTTAGAAATAGCACATCATCAGGATGCTCACTTCTTTTCGCCAAACAGGACTCACCCTACATTAATAACTGAAATTAAACACAGAACGTGCTGCGCTATGCCTCGGGGCTCAGGACTGCAATCTCAGATATACAAGGGGATGAGGCAGAAGAACTCAAAGTTCAAGGTCCATCTGGACTAAGACAGAGGTCAAGGCCAGGCTAGTAGGCATCTTATTGAGTCCCTGCTCAAGCTAATGGCTGTCCTGAAAACCTGCCCCTCTTCTCCACCGTTGCCACAGGTGCTCCAGATCTGCCCCTGTACTGTTCACCCCGCAGCTTCATCTCCAGTCCATCCCTCCTCACTCACTGCAGTGGCATTTCATTTGTATTTTAGTAAATACAGCTTGCCTGAAGACCAGAGTAAAACAGCCCACTGGTCAGCCTTACAGCCAGGCAGTGGTGACACACACCTTTAATACCAGCAGCCACACTAGTTTGCCACAGGAACCAGATGGTGCATGCCTTTAATCCCAGTAGAGAGAGTTATAAAACAGAGGAGACAGCTCTCAGTCTCATTCTGAGATTCCTGGAGGCAGGATGGCCATTCTGGACTGAGGTCAAGGTAAGAGCCAGTGGCTGGCTACTTTGCTTTTTAGATCTTCAGGTTGAACCCCAATTTCTCTGAGTTTTTATTAATCGTGCTTTAACTCACCCTGAACAACACTGCCAGAAAGGGCTTTCTAAGGCCAAAATGATTGATGCCCCCTCCACAAAGAAAGACCACTGCAGACATTATAATAGTCACTAAAATATTTGTAGACTCTAAAACATGCTATTGTGCTTTCACAAGTTCAGCTTTGCCCATAAGGGAACAAATCTGGTCAGGTAGAAGACTCAAGCAAACCTCCGTTTCCCCTTGAAGATTCAGAGCAAGTGCCACCTCCAACAGAAGCCTTTCCAAGCTTTCCCCCATGAATGAGGCGCAGCTTCCGCAGCAACCCAGGCACCTGTGCTCCCCACAGCCCTCCACCGCGGCACTCTCTCATAAGACTGAGCACTCATCAGAGCTCCATGAGGACAGCATGGTGACGACCATCGTTCTCTGAAAGTTCTGAGGCTAACTGAGCACAGTTACTCACCAAACTGAAACTGCTGGTTGTCCATGAGGCGGATCGATGCAGGAGCACACCTCTGTTTTAAAAGAAGTGGGAATCAGTTCAACAGACAAGAGTCACACAGCAGGACCTGACTGTTACTTTATAAGGCTTCAACGACTTAGTGCCTAAAGATATATGGAAAAACTTCATGAAGACAAAACATCGGTGGTTTATAAAAGTATTGGGACAAATCTATGTGTAAAAGCAATTCATAGATACTCAAACCTTTAAACTTAGCAATAAAATATACCTGCTGCCTGGCAGTAAACTGGAAGAATAACTTAAAAGAAATTCCACTCCTCAAAATAGACTATTTTACAACAAAGTAGAACTTTTTAAGACTAAATATGTGTTTTAAGAATTGCATATTTAGCCGGGCGGTGGTGGTGCACGCCTTTAATCCCAGCACTTGGGAGGCAGAGGCAGGTGGATCTCTGTGAGTTCGAGGCCAGCCTGGTCTACAAGAGCTAGTTCCAGAACAGGAACCAAAAGCTATGGAGAAACCCTGTCTCGAAAAACCAAAAAAAAAAAAAAGAATTGCATATTTTATAATATTTTACTAGGTTTTTGCACAGTATTTTTCTCCCTCTCCCCACCCCACACCCTCTCCTTTTCACAGTGTTGAGAATCAAGGCACCTGCTAGCAAATGCTCTACCACTCAGACCATCACTAACCTCTTTCATACTTTTAGAAACCAGGAAGCACTGGTGGAAATTTTTATATGCCAAAAAACTTCTAAAACATCTGCAATATCTTCAAAGACAATCTTAGGAACCATTCCTTCTTTTGAATCCTTCCTCAGAATTATTTTACATAGAAGAACACATGTGACACAGTCACAGTTTTAGTTCTTTTAGGGTTACATATAATGCAAACAGCTGGAAAAGTGGCTCAGAGGTTAAGAGCACTGATTACTCTTCCTGAGGACCCAGGTTCAACTCCCAGCACCTACATGGAAACTCACAACTGTCTATAATTCCAGTTCTAGGGGATCTGGCACCTTCACACAGACATACAGGCAAAACCCTGATGCACATTAAAATAAAAAAGAGGGTGTTAAAAAATATTTATCTAGGCCAGGCGGTGGTGGCGCACGCCTTTAATCCCAGCACTCGGGAGGCAGAGGCAGGCGGATCTCTGTGAGTTCGAGACCAGCCTGGTCTACAGAGCTAGTTCCAGGACAGGCTCCAAAGCCACAGAGAAACCCTGTCTCCAAAAACCAAAAAAAAAAATTATCTAAAGAGTAAGTCTGCCCCAGCGGAGTGTGTGTGTGTGTGTGTGTTTGTGTGCGTGCGCATGTGTGTGTGCATCCATGTTTACAAACTAAGAGTTGCAAGGAAGAAGGGGAAAACAAGATAAAACAAAGTTTAGACAGCAGGTACTGGTTGAGCAACCTTCACCTGTAAATCTGACACCTGAAATGCTCTGGAATTCAATTTTTTTGAGCAACAACTTACCAACACCAAATTTAAGATCTAGGAGCATTTGATTTCAGACTGTAGATGTCCAACTGAGAAAGCATATAAAACATGCAAGAGCTGAGTAACCACGCCAATCCCAAGACTGTGGACAAGACATTCAGCCTGCCCTTGTATTAACTTCATGATGATAAAAACTGTAAAAGGGTCTGAAACCCAAGCAGGGTTATTGCTTCCTACACAAGATTCTAGGGCAGCTGAAGCTCTACCAAGGGCTGTTTTTTGAGCAGATATTTTAAAAATGCTGTAAACATTTTTTTTTTTGAGCAGAATATTGCTCTGCAGCCCAGACTGCATACAAACTCACAGCACTCCCTACTGTCTCAGCCTACAAAAAGTCAGAAACTTTTAAAATGTCTTCATAGTATCATTTATCAATAAATATATAAAGTTCCAAAACTCCTTAAAAACTTAAAATATGCATTAAGACATTTTTGCTATTACTTGCTTTTAGTTGAACAAGTATTTAATTCTTATAAAAGCATAAAACAGAATTCTATCCAATATAAGGATAGACAAGATTCTTATTTTAAAGCCTAAGCCATTTATTTATTCATCTAAATACTAACAATGAGATAATTCAATTGATTTTTCAGAGTCACTAGCAGGTCTGAAGAGACAGTGGCAGGTAATCGTATACACATGGTGACAAGAGCCCATCACTCCCACGGTACAGGACACTGTGATTTCCAACTGTGCCCTGGTTTATTCCACACAATCAACAGAACTGTCACAGAAGCAGAACTAACTGCCTTTCAGACAGACACAGGATGGATAAGGTTAAAATATTTGTCCAAGGTCAGATGGCTATGAAATAGCAAAGAAGAGATCAAGATGTCCTGACTACTGAAGAGCAGTTTCAAGTTTATCATATAGCCTTGCTCATGCACACACACACAAAATCAACAAACACACACACACACACACACACACACACACACTCTTAGTGCTTAGCTTCATATTCAAATCAAAGATTACATCAAAACTACCATGTCTGTCAATTTGTACTCCTACTAAAAGTGTAACAGTCCAAAAAATTACAAAAGAATAATTTCAAATTGATATAAAGGTATTAGAGTTTGGTCAGGAAACCTAAAAGCACCACTAGTTTCCCATATACTAAAGAAAGATCAATTTTCTTCACATTTATAAATCCAGATGCCTTTAATAAAATGAGTGTGGTGACTTCTAATAACATATGAAACTTATTTAGGCCAAATTTCCTTTCTTCATAAAGAAAGTAGGATATCTATAGGCAAACACTAGGTAACATCTATAGCATACATGTTTGCATGTGCTGGCATAAGCACATCATAAAGTATTAAAGAATTCAGAGCTCTTTTTCAGTGGGTGTTAAATTCCTGGTGAGAAGTGTGAATTCTACCTGCCGCCACCAGCCAGATCCCACTTCGCCTGCTTCAAGAGCAGGTGCTATTAACAAAATAACCAGTGCGTGTGCTGAGGAAATGGGAGGCGAAGGCTCCACTCTAAGTAAAGACTTACTGTTGGGAGGAACCTGGCCTACCAGGTATCTTCTGGGTGGAAGCGGTACAGCAACTGCAGGTCAATTTCGGCAAGAAAGTTTTAGAGTATTTGCTAAATCATGCAGCTACCAATATTCACCTCAACTGAATGTGATTTTAACTTGGTGCTGAGTTAAATAAATAAATACTACCCGAAAACACGCAGTTTTTAAACACTGAATTTTACATAGAAATTATCAAATTCAAGTCAACAGATTTAAAGTTTCATATTTTTTTCAAAGTTAGTAAATAGTTCTTCAGTTGTTGTCTTAAGTAAATTCACAGAAGCTAAGAATTCAAATAAAAATAGTATCTAGGTTAGTATGTTGGCCTTTAGCAACCAATAATTTGAAAAGTATTACAGATAATCCTAAATATATAAAAAAATACTTAAAATATAAAAAAATTAAAAGTTAGCAAAGCAACTGACCAGAGAGAAGGTCATATAATCAAAACATCAAAATCATGTCCCTGGTCTATGGTGTGTATAGCTCAGATCAGGTTGTCTCCACTGCTTTCAAAACTAAATGGGGAGGTCAAGCTAAAAAATAAACTCAGTCCTCTTTCAAGGACAGAGAGTATAAACTCTAAGAACTGGAGTTCAAATTCACACCATACTATCCCAGTAAGCAACACTGAGCCCACTATAGTGGATAAGGAGGTGAGGAGCCCTAGCTATAGTGACCCCTGCTGGTAGTTGCCAGAAATAACCTAGGAGGGGTATTTCAACAAAGTTATAGTGGGTTTACTGAGAAATCTAAGGTATTTTATTCCTAATAAAAATTGCATGTTGTCGTGCAGTGATGGCCCACACCTTTAATCCCAGTACTAGGGAGGCAGAAGCAGGCAGATCTCTGTGAGTTTGAGGCCAGCATAGTCTACAAGAGCTAGTTCCAGGACAGGCACCAAAGTTACACAGAGAAACTGTCTCAAAAAACAAAAACGAAATAAAAAATAAAATTGCATGTTATGGTTTTCTCTCTGGCAATAGCCATGGTTTAGTTTAAGGAAACATGTTTCAGAAATATTTTTAAGGTGTTCCTTACAGAGACTGCCTTTTTTTTTTAATTTATTAAAAAGTTGGATTGAGATATCTGTTACTTTTTAAGTTAGCACAGAGAATACTACTACTTTATTCTAGTCAGTTTTTCTCTAATGGAAGGAAATGCCCCTCGTTCAACATAAAGGACAGAATCTTAAATTCTTATTGAAAACAACCAAAGACAAGCAGAGTCTGCGCTATTAAGCTTGTTCCGGAAAGCCATCAGAGTTGTTTCTGGACTAACAAGAATAGTTAAGACGCTGTATCTGACATGTAGTACATCCTCAACGTTAACTCTTGTGGGAACTTATTTTCTAGGAAAGTCTTAAAGAATCACCCTAGATCTACTGAGCAAATGTGGAGACTGCGTTGACACACTTAGGGATCACCCACAAACCCTTCCTTCCTAGCCCCTCAGAGGGCAGGCAAAGAGGACAATTTCTCACCTAGACAAGATCCCATGAAAGCTGAGGGGAGCATCCCACTGCCAGCTGAGGTTGCCTAGTTCTCCCCCTCAGTCACAGCAGTAAGAAAAGCCTCCATGTAGGGCCAGCTTTGCTACTGTGAACACCACACCTTCCTTTCCCAAAGACGCTCACTCACCTTACAGCCTGCCATTTTGAAAACAACTTGAGTACTGAAGAACTGCAAGTGTGAAATGACAGCACAGAATCACGAGCATCTAGAACCTGACCAATCATAACGTGTGCACTGTTTTAGTCTACTATCCCCTGCTAGTAACTGAAATTCCGAATCCCAATCTCAGCAAACATGATTTTCTGAGCTATTTTCTGTCTGCAAACACTATTACAAAAGGAGAACAAGATACAGTACCTACTGTTGGCATGAGGTTCCTACTCAGTAAACTGATAAGGTCAATGATTCTTAAGCATTAAAAAACTATTAGCCTGTACATGTGCATTGTAAGGCATGAAATCGTAGGTCTCCAAATAATGTGATACTACAAACTGCATTCTGAGCTGTGCTTCACACTGAGGAGCAATGCTAGATTTTTAAGTCAGATTCAAAGTAGGCAAGTTTTCTATTCTAGTCTACAGGATTTGTCTATAAAGCTGACTATTACTAAGTACGCAGACCTCCAGTCTAAAACGGCACTTTCTCGCTGATCTGCTCTATAGCCACACGGTGGCACTATCCGTCATTCGTATCTCTATTCCAAATGTATACTCAGTACAGTGAATTGCACTAGTCATCTGCTGGGTATCTAAGATTCTTAAAACCGTTTACTCAGGGGCAAGTTTTGCTGCTTTATGCAAGGAAGGAAAGGAGTCTACCCTGCTCTCCAAAAGCACAAGTAGATCTTCTGTTTCATTTTCCAAAAGGAGCATATCCAACTATAAAAAACTGCACCAGACTGCATCAGTTACTCATATTCAAACTGAACGGCTCCACTATGATAACACTATGAACAGGATTTTTGTAGATTTACACATCAGTTCTCAACGATGACACCAAAGGCATTGTCAATTGAGTATGCAGTGTGGGAAAATGGAAAGCATAAAAGACCTGAGTTATATTATAATACTTGCTGATGAGACCACTGCCCTGGAGAGTCTAGGAAGTGTGGAATTAGCCAACACAGGGGAACATGACCCTTCTGAGAGCTTTTGTCAAGGAAATATACAAACCCAAAATCCTTTTCAACTTTTATGATTATTATTTTTTAATCTGATTTGAGCTGACAGAAGATGCAATGAAAAAGCACAGCCAATCCTGAGCTGCTCAATCTTTCGAGAGGGAAGCAAGCAGGCCCTGAGCCTGCCATCTTTATGGCACAAGCTGAACATGTCCAAGTGTTTCCACCTACCACTTTACCCTTCACACCAAGTGCCTTATCACTAAGCTGAGCATGTCCTACACCTACCCATCTTCCCGCCTGAACAACTTTCAACTACCCATGCTCAAAATGTGCCCGCCTCTGACGTGCATTCCCCTATGTAATACATGGGTCTCTTACATAAGATTTGCATGTTTCCTTTGCTGGAGAAGCCATCACTTTGGGAAGAACCTCTCTGTTCTCTCTTCCTGTTGAGGCTAATAGAACACTCTCCACTCATTTAAACAAAGAAAAATTAGTTTGGCATTCATGTTTTTCTTGTTATGAAAAACACAGGCCATACTGATTAACGCTAAATACAATGTTCCAAACATGACCTAGAGAGGATAGGGACTAAATTTTGAATAAAGCACGGGCTACATTCTGGGAGCTTGTTTTGTTTTATTTTTTAAAATCAAATTTATATATATTTTGAAATTATTGTTTATTTTTTAATTAGTCAACTTCCAACTACTTTCTTTAAACTAAAAATAAAAAATAAAAAGCTAGCTCTCCCCATTCTTCTAGTTACTAACTCAAAAGCAAAGCCACATGGCTCTGTAAAAGCCTTCTTACTAAGTACATTTCCTTTATGAGTGTGCATCCTCGATCTTTAAGTGGCAGAAGACTTAGCAACAACCTCAGAACACACTTGAACTTCACTTCCTCATTCTTAGTTATCATTTTACTAGAACACATATTTACTCCTAAAAAAGTTCCATGGTAATGCTTCTTAAACATCACCCGCCATGTCATAGTGCTAGGAAGTATGACCTAATACTCTGTACTCCAGCTGTCTACACGTGGCATGAAGCAGAGTCGAGGTGAGTTTTGAACTCCTGTATAAAAATGTCAGCTGTTAACACTGACATTGTCGTGGCACCCGAGTGACCTGCCACACGACCAAACATGTTCATGCCAGGACCATGTCAACCACCACAAAAAAGCCTATAACAGTTGCTAACGAAAAAAATAAATAAATAAAAACAGTTGCTAACAATTATAAAACTTATCCTTATCTATTGCTAAATTTGGTGATCGTACCTCTTGAAAATGGAAAACACCACATAGAATGAGTAGCTCAGAATGTAAAATTAAATAAAATAAAAAGCACAAGAAATGCTCTGTGTGTGTATATGTGTCTAATATTTTCCTTATTTTAAGTTCTTTAAAACATTAGCAGCTGCTGGGAATACAGACTGGTGATAGACTGTTTGCCCAGCATGCTCAAAGCAGGACTTGAATTCCCAGCGCCACACACTTCAGAAAGAGAGGCCGGGCCTGAGAGGAAAGCACGAGGATCAGGAGCTCTCGGCCTGCCTGGGCTACAGTGAGCACTAGTCTTCCACAGCAGCTTAGTGGCAGCCCACTTAAAATAAACAGGTTTTTAAAGGGCTAGGAATAGAGTTCAATGGTAGAGAGCACTTGCCTACATTCACAAGACCCTGGGTATGATCAGCCCCCAGCACCACAAAACAGAGCAGACACTCCAGTGGTTGTCTTGGATTGTGGGAAGGTGAGACAGTTGGCCTCTTTGCCTTTCACTATCTTATAGTCCAACAGGTGGTGTGGGAGAATTGTCTGTATTCTGTCAATTATGTTTTAAATAAACGCTGACTGGCCAATAGCCAGGCAGGAAGTATAGGCGGGACAACCAGACAGGAAGTAGAGGCAGGTCAAGGAGAACAGGAGAATTCTGGGAAGAAGGAAGTTCCCTCTGCAGTCCTGACCCAACCACAGAAGAAGCAAAATGTGACTGCCCCGCTGAATAAGGTACTGAGCCACATGGCTAACACAGATAAGAATACTGGGCTATATAAGTTAAAAGAGTTAATAAGAAGCCTGAGCTGATGGGCCAATCAGTTTATAACTAATGTAGACCTCTGTGTGATTTCTTTGGGATTTAACGACTGCAGGATCCAGGCAGGACAGAAAACTCAGACAACAAACAGGAATATGAATAACTGGCTAGGTATTTCCTTGCCTCTATCAGAGACTCCCTCCAGTTTTCTTTGAATACTAAGAAGTGGATCTATACAGGTCATATCCAAAAGTCCCCTTCCAGGACAAGGTGTGATATCCCAGTTTTTAATGCCAGCATTTAGGAGGCCAAGGCAAGTGGATTTCTCTGAGTTTGAGGCCAGTCTGATCTGCAGAGCAAGTTCCAGGCTTGCCGAAGAGACACAGTGAGACTCTGCAGCAAAACAAAACAAAAACAATTCTGCTTGCATATACATAATGGGGAATATTACAGAACTCAATGTGTCTAGAGAAAGCAAGAAGGGGTAGAATATACTGCCTGACTCTCCTTACTGCTGAAAAAGGTTGAAACAAGGAATGACACATAAACTACTGCCGTCCAATGAATAAAATTAGATATCCCCACACAAAAACATAGAATGAAATAAAAAGATTATTTGGCATGAGCTAGTCTTTTTTTTAAAAAAAGGAAAAATGATAATGTTTCTCTTTTTAGGAAGGCAGGAATTGTGGAGTTTGTTTGTTTATTTGTTTGTTTGTTTTTAGATTACAAAGAAGTATACATTAACTATATTACTCAAACACTGGCTAAAATAATATTATGAAACCAAGTAGCACCTCCAGCACATCCTATGTATTAAAAATATTTGTCTATATTTGAAACTTCTAAGTTTGGGGGTTAATGATATTGAGTCATTACCTCTAATTTCTTCTTTATCTTTCTTTTGGGGAGCAGGGTTAAGACAGGATCTATCTCCATAGCCATGGCTGTCCTGGAACTCACTACATAGACCAGGTCATGAGCTCACAGACATCTGCCTGTCTCTGCCTCCTGAATGCTCTGATCAAAGGTGTGCACCACCAAAATCTGGCTACTTCTAACTTCAACAAAATGTCTTATTTAAGTTAAATATCATTTCAATTTATCACAAAATACATTATTCCAAAATAACTTACAAAATACAACATTCAACCCAAAGCAGAAACATTCAAAGCCATGAATCTAAGCACCTATCTTACATTGGCCCCAAATCAACAGGCATCTTTGAACAAAAGATAGGTGTGAGAGCAATGTAACTACTGAATGAAGTAAGCATACTTAAAGGGGTAATTTCCCATGTAAAACTCGGAAAAAATTACAAACATAACACAACTAAATATAAAGAGTAAGTACTTAAAACATCACAATTATGCAGCAGAATTTTAAAAGTATAATTGCAAATATTGTGTACTTTTTTTTTATTACCTGCTTTGCAATTTCTCTTAAACAGGCTACTCCTTGTTCAAAATTAGGGAAAGCTACCGAGCCATACTTTTGGTATTCAGGGATTGGTCTGATTTTTATTGTAGCTTCTGTTATTACACCAAGAGTTCCTGAAAAAGAAGGGGAACAATCCAATATCACATGACAGTTTTCTAAAGCCATATTTAAATCTATTTAATCAACTGATTCTGTTGTTTCATTCTATTACCCATGTTAAAACTATTTAATTCTTTGACTTGGGGAATAATAGCTAATCAGGTATTTTTAAATGAGCAATTAAGCAAACTTTATAATTTCAAAAATGATTTTAGACTCTTCTTTCTTAATGTACAAATATTTTAAAACATTTCAAGATTTCTCTAAGAAAATTAGTTTTAAATGTTTTTTTAAAAAAGAATAGAGTAACATTACATCTCATACATACTGACAAAGGTGTACTATGATGCGTCTATGTTTACTTTTAAAAATTCCTGGAGCAGAAAGAAATTAACTTTCTTAAAACTTTAAGATGAGTGAAGGATTGCCTTGTCTCCTCAGATTTATTTATTTATTTATTTATTTTGTTTTTTGTTTTTTGAGACAGGGTTTCTCTGTGGTTTTTGGAGCCTGTCCTGGAACTAGCTCTTGTAGACCAGGCTGGTCTCGAACTCACAGAGATCCGCCTGCCTCTGCCTCCCGAGTGCTGGGATTAAAGGCGTGTGCCACCACCGCCCGGCTCTCCTCAGATTTAATACATAGAAAGGCAAAGGCATTCCTGAGAAGCTCTTGTAAGAGAGAAACAGAAAGTATGACACATGAGAAAACCACCAGTAAGACAGTCTTTACTGCTTAGAACAGGGAGAGATTAATCTTAAAGAAAAATAATAAACTAAATATAAGCTTTTATATCAAAATATTTAAAGAAATTACTAAAAAATAATGTTCACAAAAAACCAGTGTTTTCAAGCCTGTGGTTTCATATGTACAAATAGTGAAATTAATAACAGCATTAGCAAATTTTTTAATGATTATTTTAGAAAGTATAAAGAGGGATGTGAATGAAACTGAATAACTCGGTTATAACACTGGAAATAAAAGTTCAAGAAATGTTTGGCATCCCTAGAATGGCCAAGATGTAACACAGGGTTAAAGACACATCTGAGTCCATACAGTATAAATCAGATTAATTAGATTATTATATATTCATTTTATATATGTTATTTCTGTTTTATTTTAAAATGAGTCTCTTATAACTTATATGATCATAAAAATCTTTGTAAGTTTGCCCAATTAACATTTTAATATAAAATTTAAAATATAAGTAATAATTTCAACAATAAAATTCACCCATTTAAAACCCTAGAAGCCCTCAAAACAACATGATGGCTATTGTCATCCTCTTGGCTACCTACCATAAATACATGGTAAGACCCTACTGCTGAAGACACAATACCCTGGTTCCCTCCGGCAAACACAGAAGTTATACTGGAACTGTCCTGGAAGCTTCCTCCCTGCCCATTACCTTCTGTAGTACTGGACCCTGTGTGCTACAGTACCAACCTGCCAGGCAAGGAGGATCCATGGGTGTAATTGTGGCATGGCCATCAGAGAGACAAAGAACTGTTTTCTGATTGCATCTGAAGCCTGATACACAGGAGTATGATTAGCCTAGTACTGTAACACTGGGTCAAAGTCTATGGCTGGGGAGGGCATAGACCCTGTATGTGTGCAGAGGGGCTGGCGGGGATATTCCTGTTGTTTTCCTACAACAGTGACAACAGTAAACTACCTTCTAAATAGTTATGTTTATACCTATAGATTAGTGCAGCTCTCAAGATCAGAGAAGCCTCTTTTTGCAGTGGACTGCAGTCTGTGCAAAATGGCTAACATGCTGAGAGTAAGAGACTGCGGAGTACTCAGGGAACACTGGAAGAGTAAGAGGATGGAGTGGAGTGCTGTCAAATGCTGTTATCTGGACATGGTATGGTTGTTGTGCTCATGAATTCAGAGCAGCTATGCTTACCTGCACAAGTCAAGCCAGTCAATAATTCCAGCATAGAGGGACAGGTGCTCATAAGGGTCTACCCTAGCTGATGATGCTACAGGAGGGGAGATGTGGCCACTGATAGGTTCCTCAGTATCCTCACATGTATGCACAATCATTACTATAAACTAAATTTAAACCATTTTAATCCCCCCAAACTGTACCAATTAAACAGCCATGATCCATTTCCATACCTCCACCCTAGCCAACTATTCATAAATATATTCTGCCTTTATTCATATGCATATTCCAGATACTTTATATAAAAGGAATTTCATAGTATGTGGCTTTGTGGATTTTTTTTCATTTGCTATGGTTTCAAGGTTCATATTTTACATTGATTACCATTATAATCAATGAACTACTAAAAACTCTGAGAGATGAGATATGTAAAAACTGCAGTGAAAAGTTCACTTAATGAAGCTGCCCACAACATGTGATCTGGCAAAAACAAGAATAGCAAACTTGAAGACAGACATTGTGAAATGTTGTGCTATAGAAAAATAGAAAAAACAAATAACTAAGCCTCAGAGAGACATGAAAAACCATTAATTACATTACTAGATAAATAATGAAAGTACTATAAGGGCAGTGAACACAGCATAGGACAGAAAATTTATATAAAAAATAGCTAAAAATTTCCTAACAGTATCTTATACATCAAATGAGTTCAATAAATTACAAGTAGGATCAACACAAAAATATCGGTAAACGGATCATGAAAAAAGATTCAAAGACTAGTAAAAAGTCTTGAAAACAACATGAAAAAAATGAAAAAGGTAAATCTTATAAAATGTACACCTGACTTCTCGGCAGGAATGATAGAAGCTAGAAAACAGTGAAATAACAGATTCAAAAAGCACAAGGAAAAAAAGTCTGTCAACTACAAATCATGTATCACATTCAAAATATGAAGACTAACACATTCTCAGATAAACAAAATCTGGCACTTTGTTGCTAAAGACCAGGCTAGGAATAAATTCTAAAAGTTCTTCAAGTTGAAGATGATGACCTCAAACACCAGAAATTCAAGTTAACACCAGGAAACAAAACAAACAGAAATCACAACAGAGCACACCAGTTAAAGAAGTTATAAAATGTAAGGGGAAAAAAGAAAACAATCCTTAAGGCAACATACTATGAGAGTCCTTTTATATTAAATGCCCAGAATATACAAATCAATATAGGCAGAAAATATAGATTAATACTTGGGTAGAGTGTGGTTATGATCATAAAGGCCTACACAATTACAAAAGACGATGTAAACCGGGCGGTGATGGCGCACGCCTTTAATCCCAGCACTAGGGAGGCAGAGCCAGGCGGATCTCTGTGAGTTCGAGGCCAGCTTGGTCTACAAGAGCTAGTTCCAGGACAGGAACCAAAAGCTACAGAGAAACCCTGTCTCGAAAAATCCAAAAAAAAAAAGACAATGTAGATGCTTACTTATACACTGCTGAAAAATCAATGCTATAAAACAATATGGAAGAGTCTGAAGTGGTAGCTGATAGGAATCTTAGAATGCCATAAATGAAAATAAATGGGAGATTCTGGTAGGAGTTTGGAAGACCATAATGCTGGTAAAAATGTGGACAGTAAAGGCTGGGCTCATGAGATTTCAAAAAGAAGGAACTGTTCTACTAGTCTCTCCCTTAAGATATACTCCTCATCAATATCTCCTTCCTAGATTCTGGCTTCCAGAGACTCCAAGTTAAGCAAAATAAATATGATGTAAGGTTAAATCTAACTTTATTCTTTTATATAGAATTGCAAGGAACCAAGAATTTTTTTTAAAAGGAGAACTCACATATTAGCTTTAATATATACTTTTTAATTAAAAATATATATAAATATGTGGGGTATACAACTGAAGATAATGATTCCCTCTCTGCCAGAATCTATCAATATCCATTAGTTCAGAAGCAAGGACAGAGCCCCATGAGTCCTCCTACCCTTGTCAATCATGACTTGATTGTTGACAGGGCCAGTCTTGTACAAGTCCAGAGCTGCTGAGATCATGACTGCAATAACTGTTATTCCTAAAAGATGGCATTTCACAGTCTTTCTTCCTATCCTATGACTCCTACATTTGGTTTGATTAAATTTATTTTTGACAATTTCATAAATGTATATAGTGTAAACTGATTATTCTCACTCTCTCTACCCTCTCTTATCTGATTTTTTAAAAGTGGTACTTAGGAAAATGGAGATTTGAAAAGAAAATCCAAAAGACAGATGGTTTAAACTAACAAACACTTAAGTGAGGCACACCAATTCTTCACGAATTCTCAAAAAGTAACTCATTTTTGGAAATGACTATTATATTATTCTAAGACCATCAAACAAAACTAAATATGAAGTAATTTAAGGTCTAACGTCATCACAAGAAAAAAATGACAGGTATGAAAAGTATGTCTATGAAAGCAATCACTATCATAATCCAGCTGACTTCATTAAGAAATTAAAATTGTATAATCTATTTCGGGTAGCTGGTCACAGAGGTCCCAAAAGCCTCCAAAATCATAAAGTTCTTTACAGCCCTGTTGGTTACCCACTAGAACTAGAAGATAAGACTCTACGCTGAAGATACTGCACACCTTGGTTGTAAGAGACTGAGGAAGCAACAGGAACTCTCTAAGTGCTGGGAGAAGAGGCATCACTGTCTAATCCAGCTGTGAACCCTATGAACCTCCATACAACAGTAATGCCAAAATACTATCTATAAAGGACCAGAGTCCTGGCTATAAAGAAGTTTGAAAAATGCTAAGAACCAAGTTGGGCATGTGATACATGCCTTCAATCCCAGCACCAGGAGGCAGAGACAGATGGGTCGCTGTGAGTTTGAGGCCAGACTGGTCTACATAGCAAGTTCCAGGACAGCCAGAGTACATAATAAAAAGACTTTGCCTCAAAAATAAATAAGCAAATAAGTGAAGATGATGGTAAGAAACAAGAACAGTACTGGAAAAGCAAGGGGAATGTACAAAATACACACACATACGGCAAGGGGAGTATTCACACAAAAAACGTACCCACAGCCACCTACCTACAACCTATCTCACACACACACACACACACACACACACACACACACACACACACGTGTGCGCACATACACACACAGAGCTAACACCACCACCATCATAAATAGCCAACCTATCATCATACTTGATATTATCTCTACCATGTCATTAAGAAACATAGTTATTTGTTCCTTCTTTGCTGCCACTATCAAAGATCAGAACTTGTGCCTGAATACCTTAATTATAATTGTTCTTTTGAAGGAAGCAGGCAAAAGAACCTTGTCCTAAGCACAGCCATTTTGACTTCAGACTCCAGTTTACCTGTAGTGTAAAACAAAGTTCAGGTTCCCAAATTTTAGGGGAGTTGAGAACTTTCCAATAGCTGACCAACCTCATTAGTCAACAGAAAATCTGTTATGCCCCTTAGTCTAAATTATTATGGCTGTTCCTAAAAACAGACAGAACAGATGAGTCTGACTGGCTAAAGAGACTGCATTCTGTGTTGGTAGACAATGGTGAGACACACGGGGAAAGTTCCTACTCTTTGACTTCTGCTTCCTGAAAACTGTAACATGGCAAAAAATGTTTCTGCTTTTATGCTCATAAACCTGGCTTCTGCCCCTGCTAGGGACTGAGTCCTTGTCCTGCAGCCCTGACATCAGTGACTCTGCTTGTGTGGTGACTTATTAAAGTCCCTGGAACCCATCCTGTTGTCTACTTCCTCCTGGCGCACAACAGACTTAAATATAGCTAAATGTTTCCAAACTCTATCTTTGGAAGTAAACAAGCTCTTAGGCTAACTTAGAAACACTTTCCTGTTTAAATTTATTTTATTCTTCTGAATTTAAGGGCTGTCCCTTTCCCATTCCAAAATCTGAAAAACAGGCCCAAGTCTACTTCACGCACACCATTTACCAATGTGTTTACTCAACAGCCTGCAAATCAGAAGGAACCACATATTTTAAAGTTATCCAACAGTAAACAAGTAAGCAACAGATACTGCTTGCAAAATAAAAACAGAAGTTTAAAAGATACATGAATAAATGGAATTTAAACTTCCATTTTTTAAAAAACATCCAACACGATTACAAGAAAACAAGACAGAAAGAGAATGTTTCATCAGTCATCCCAACTGGTAACTGGGACAAGATTAAACTGTAACATACAGAGCTGAATGTTTAAGCCCTAACCACTGTTTCCTAAGATCACTAAAAATTTTGAAAAAACTAAGAAAAAAAGACCACACTCTGTTTAGAACTATAAAAGAGTAAAGTGTAGGAAGAAATTTAGTATAAATGTTCTCATTATAAAAGCTTTACGAGTGAGCTGGGCGTGGGAGCACACGCCTTTAATCCCAGCACTCAGTGGGCAGAGGCAGGTGATTTCTCTGAGTTCAAGGCCAACCTGGTCTAGAGAGTGAGTTCCAGGGTTACAAAGAGAAACCCTGTCTTAAAAAAACAAAAAACAAACAAAAAAAGTTTTATGAAATATGAATTAAAAAACAGTAAATCATAAAATTTTATTATTCTTTAAAAATCTAAAGCATACCTTTCTTTCAAAGACCTGATATTACAGTACACAGACTTTCCCAATATGAAGTCATAAACCTACATACTTTCCTAACAACTTTATTACAGTTACACCAACCTTCAGATCCCATGATGAAGTGATGGATATCAGGGCCTGTTGACATGCGAGGTCCTTGGGAGCTTTTCTCTATTACACCTCTAGGGGTTACCATTTTTATATGAACCACCTGTTTAATACAATACACAGCGTAAACTCCAGGCATCTGTTAAATCTGTGTCTGTACTTGCAACACATATATTTACATTTGCAATAAAACACCACACATTAAATAGTGAACTAAGTGATAAGTTGTGATGCCCTTCAGAATTCTCACACCTTTTAGTGATTTGTATACTAAAGATAAATATAGTAATTTTCAACATTTTTCCAACAGTTAAACAAGATACTAGTATCATGACTTACCGTAATTTTAAGTCTAAAAAAGAATTATTAACACTTTGAAATTTTTAATGAGTTCTAATGTAGCCACAAAGACTAAAATACTGGCCTTACTAAAGTTTTCGTACAAGCAATGCAAATTATGAGTTTCAAAGGATACAATACGTTACAAAGAAATTTCAAAACAAAATATGTTATATAACAACTTAAGTAGTAAGTGTGTTAATTGAAGAATCTTTTCCCCCTTAAAAATCTTTAGGAAAAAATTAAGCTAATTTACACTTTAATGTAAATTAAATAAATTTGATAGACTTTAATGGTCTATCAAGCACTTGCCTGACTTATAAAGCTCTTAATAATCTAATGGCAACCCAGAACTATTTTTCTCTACAACTGGATTTAGCTTTAATGTTTACAGAATAACAAGCATTGTCTCTCATGAGATAAACCTGATACTCCCATCAACAGAAGTATTAATAAAAACCCTGAGACCAAGAACAATGTTATCAGTATTACTTTAATTCCACAGTCTCACAGGCTTTTCTAAAGTACTATCAACCACCCAGCATAGTGTTGCCTTTCTGTAACCCCAGGAACTGAAATGGAAATGACAAAATTACAAGTTCTAAGACAGCCTGGACTAAATAGCAAGACCATGTAGAAAAATGTCAGGTAAAATAAATATCGAAATACTGAAGATTTAAAGAAAAAAACCTTACACTTATAGACATGAGACCTGTGAAAATTTCATTTTATGTCTTTTAGCTGCAATATAATTCTAATATGGTTATTGTATTTTACAGAAAAGAACACTGAAGCTGAGAAAGGTAAACCAACTTGCCCCCAGAAAAGCTACAAATGTAACAAATGGCACCCAAAACTTAATAAGGTACCCATAGCTACAACACTGTCAGGCTCCCAGAAACCTGGCACACATTAAATAAGACAACCTCTATGACTATTCAATAGAACCATTTCAATGAGGTTCTTCAACTGTACACACAAAAAAAGAATTCCTTCAGAAAAGTAAATGTAAAATCTCCTAAAGCAAGAATAACAATATCACATTGAAAAACAAAGATGATGATCAAACTCTTGATGGACTTAAAAAATATTTATTTGCATATTTAGATACTTTGAAACGACTATAAATCTTAAATATTGGTCACTTTAAAAAGGACATCCTTAAATATGACGTCACTGTATCTTTTAACTGCTTCTACTATGCACAATCAGTATTACTATAACCAAAAGAAATATATTTTAAAGAGATTTACCACTCAATCCTTAATATTTATTTGTTTATTTAGCCGTTTCAAGACAGAGTTTCTTTGTATATCAGAGCCTTGGCTGTCCTAGAACTCACTTTATAGATCAGGCTGGCCTTGAACTCACAGCATTCTGTCTCCCCGAATGCTGGGGATTAAAGAGATAAGCCACCATGACCGGCCCAATCCTTAATTTTTAAAGGCTCTAAATACTTAATCTGATTTTTTAAATAGCAATCACTAGACAGTAACTAGAAATACATTTACCAGGTCCTCAATATTGCCATAGATGTTCTTCTTCATGCCTGATGCCCGAGTGGCTATCCACCCTCCCACAGTGCTGAATTCCAGGGAGTCTGGCTCGTGACCTGTACAATAACCGCTTTCTTTAAGCTGAAAAGCAAAAGTGTAAAATTTTAGAGCAAAAATGGTTCCATTTCACACAGCATTCAACACATTTACTCCTCCCATCTGTTTCTAATATTTTTGACACATTAAACCTGAAAAGACAACTTTTTTCTTTTTGCCTAATGAAAAACCTTCATAAAATGGGAAAAGCGTGGGCTAAAAAGCACTACTCTTCACATTGTTTTTCAAGCCAGCTGACCCTTCCTGTGTCCCACACCCTTGAAGAGACACTTTAAATACTTATGGAGATCAGATTAACTTAAGTAACTGCCAACTTCACCTAACACTTTCAATAAATAAAGCATTTCATCTTTCTTTCTCCTCCACACTAATATAATATGCAGCAGGCCTCCAGAAAATCTAAGCAAATTGCCTGTACTTAATTCTCTCAAGGAGTCGTGTGTTTTAATGCTCAGCCATCTGGCTAGGCTTCCCAAATGCAATGCCATCATTTACTTGTGATGTGGACCAAGCATTCCTGTACATTAAATAGTCACTTGTTCCTCATTTTTCTGTATTAGCTTGGCTTCACCATCTGTACAGCACCTGAGGTTCAATGGATGCCCTTTACTGCAGCAACACCAAAGCCATTCCACTGAAATCATTTTAAAGTCTCAGCCATCTCCTGTCAAACGGTACAGACACCACCATCTGCGTACTTGCTGCTGCCGGCACTCAAGCCCATCAATCTGTGGTGACCATTGGATCGTCATCCAGTGCAGCAACTGCTTTATTTCTCAAGTAAGTCATGCAGAGATGTAGAGTATGTCAGCGATGTTTGTGCCCATGTATCAAAGTAAGTATGGATTGAAAGTTGTAACCAAAATGTGTAAGCCCGCTAGCTTACACATAAATTAGGCTTCACATGCTAGCAATGGAAACTGTATTTTTTATTTTGCTTATAGGAAGACAGAATTGAAAGAACATCACTTGTTACTTTTTTCTTTACATATTCAATATATTTAAGAGGTTAGCAAGCTATCACAAATAAGCAGGGTTAAAATGAAAATTACCAATGTATTAGATTTCCTTACAGCTCCATCTTCAAACAACCTATATTGACATTATTTTCTCAGTTTTATTAAATTAGAAGAAAAGTATTCATAAACCCCTAACACATGTCACCTGATGGTGGCGATGAGTCAGGGTATTCTGTGTCACACAGTACACTTTAGATGACAGCAATTTATTCTATGACACCTATACCTCACTGAAACTATTAAAGAAATAAAACAAAAATATATGGCTCATAATTCAAAAAGCTTACTGGCTTGCTCTCCATGGCTTGCTCAGCCTGCTTTCTTACAGAACTCAGGACCACCAGCCTAGGGGTAAACTCACAAACAATGAACCAGCCCTTCCCCATCAATCACTAAATGAGAAAATGACCTGCAGGTTTGCCTACAGCCTGAGCTTATGGAGGTCACTTTCGCAATTGAGGTTCTCATCTCTCCAATGACTCTAGGCTGTGACAAACTGACATAAAAATAGCCACCACAGAAAAAAAAATAGCTAGCAAAGGTGGCCAGACTGTTATGACACTATTCCTAAATTTTGTTTTGTTTTGGTTTTTGAGACAGGGTTTCTCTGTAGCTTTGGAGCCTGTCCTGGAACTCACTTTGAAGACCAGGCTGGCCTCGAACTCAGAGATCTGCCTGCCTCTGCTTCCTGAGTGCTGGGATTAAAGGCGTGCACCACTACCGCCTGGCTATTCCTGAATTTTAACAGACATTTAAGTTTATGAAATTACAGAGTTAAAATTCTCCTCTAATTTGAAAAGATAGGGGTCAGGCCATATATAGTACAATGTGGTATCAGAGTTAGAAAATAAACCATATATAAAAATAATCCATAGTATGATTGAATATGACATAGATTTGTTATTTGTTACTATCATTTATCAATATTCTGTGATAGTTAAAGATACTATGTGATATTGATTCTCCCATAAATTTAGCAGCCATGTTGGAAAGGGAAAGTTTACTGGAAGAATAGTTTCTGTGCATTGGGTCTTAGATATAAGTATAAAGTTTTATAAAGGAATGCAATGAAGACCTGGGGTGGGGGCTACAAAATAAGCAATATTTGAGAGACGACTACAAACTTCATCACTGAAACTTCAGCTTTTATAATGCTGGATTTGTGATTCCTATTATACAACCAAGGAGAAAGAACAGCTAGGAACTGGCTATGGTCGTCTACACTTTAGGGCAAAAATCTGCACCGAGGACAAGTTTGGAAATCTTCAGCCATAAAAGGAATAAAGTTCAAGGTACCTGAATGAAGTATACATGTTTGATAGAAATTAATGGGATGAAGTTCTAAATGTGTTACATTATTAACATACTCTATTCTAGCAAAAACTTTGAGAGGTGATATTATCACCATTTCATAGATGAAGATCTATAACTAGGATCTATATTTAAAGTTAAAAGGAAGGGCTAGGAGCTACTTGAAACAAGAACAAAACAAGATATTATGAGATTATTAATGATGTTACCTCTGGGAAGAAAAAACACATATCACCAGACTATTAGATAAATAAATCACCAGAGATTTAATAAATCCCTAAGGAAACCCCAAAATCTGAAACTGGTATGTTAGTGATGTACCTTAGTATTTAAGCATATTAAAGACCAATGTAATTTACAAGTTAAAGAGTTAAAATCTGCTACTCAACTTGTGTGTTTCTGCCATTTTAAACCTTCTCTGAGGAATAAACAGGACACTTTAAGCTGGTTGTCTCAGCTGAGGTATAAACTAAAGGACTCGGGAGGGAGTTTAACGAGGAGGGGTCTGATGGGGACGGCTGCAGGCACAACTGTGAGGGTGTGTCACAGTGAGACAAACTAGCAGGTAAAACCTCATAAGCACCTACTAGAGAGAAATGTCATTTAAATTTTAAGGGGATATACTCTTTGAATTTTCATTTTAACCTTTAAAGAGGGAAGGAAAACTTAGAAAGGTTAAAATACTCCATCAAATGCTATAATAAAGGATATAACACTGGAGGCCTAAAAAGTCTTTTTTTGTTATTAAAGAAAATGCTGTCAATAATGTCTTATCATTCCAGCTAGCAGAGGACTAATCCAGGGCATTCTAGATGTTTTTTATTGAATATCATCAAAGTTCATTAGAAACTGTAATAATAAATCTTTTATCTTCACTATATAAAGCCTGACTTGTTTGAAGATCTCTGATAAAAACTAACAGATCTGCTGGATGTTAAAGTAAGTTAACTACTATTCACCCATGGAGAAAAGCTGCCTGGCGGGTATTGGAGTTTGCTAGCTGTTCACCTTTTCCAAATATAAACTACTCATAAGTAAAACTTTTAATACTTCAAAAATCTTTTAGTATTGCAATAAATTTTTCAAGAACTGGTCACAAGTAGACAAAATTTAATCGTTTCAAAAAAGGGGAAAGACAATTAAAATAAAATTAACCACCACACATTTCCTGTGTCTTAGTAAAGGTTCAGGGATAAACTATAATCTAATTTGAATGAAGCGACTGATGTGTCACCAATAAATCCCAATTCCTAATTTTTGTTTATAAAAGCTGGGTTACAATCATCCTGACCATATTTGGGGAAGTTTAAAAAAAATCAATTTTTAATTTCTGGGGGGACTCATTTATTTTTTGTTTTTGTCTGCATGCAATGTCCACAGAGGCCAGAAAAGGGTGATAGATCCCCTGGCACTAGAGTTGCCATATAAGTGCTAGGAACTGAACCCAGATCCTCTGGGATGGCAGTCAGTGCTCTTAAACTCTGAGCTATCTCTTTAGCCCCCCTGAATCAATTCATTTTAACAATTACCTGCTCAGAACCCATAAACAGAAAATTTTAAAATTCACTCAAATACTGAGAAAGAGCAGAAAGATTAAGGGTCCCAAAAGCAATGGCTACCCTTAGTGCTCCTGCACACACTTCCTCCTCAGGGTTGGTCTCTTCACCTGACCTCTCTTCTGCTAACTCTGACTCATCCTTGAGACTCATTTTACTTTATCAGGTTTTGGAGTTATTATACCAAGTAAATCAACTTCATTATGGCAATTTCATACATAATTTGTTCTTATTCATTCCTTTCTATGTCTCTTTTTAAATGTCAAGTCTCTATGACACATAATTGTCCAAGTTCTTCCTACCTGCCCCCATTTGATGAGACATACTTGATCTTTCCCTGAATCACTCACTGTCCATTTCTCCAATCTTCTATCCCAATATACGTGCCCTGAGGGCAGGAGATAGAGTTTCATTCACTACTGTATTCTCACTTCTAGCTCAACAAACAAAATCTGAGCAGATTCACTGAGTGGCCAATGTCTTGTGAAAGGTACTTCTTTTTTTTTTTTTGAATATTTATTTACTTATTATGTATACAATATTCTGTCTGTGTATGTCTGCAAGCCAGAAGAGGGCACCAGACCTCATTCCAGATGGTTGTGAGCCACCATGTGGTTGCCAGGAATTGAACTCAGGACCTTTGGAAGAGCAGGCAATGCTCTTAACCACTGAGCCATCTCTCCAGCCCCCCAAGGTACTTCTTTCAGACGTAGAATACAGCTAGTTAACGAGATAACATACCTGCCTTTCCAACTCTTGTCCTGTTAGCCCAGCCTCTACATGAGCTGTCAGATTGTTCTCATCAACCCAGAGAATCCGGTTCTGTTACAAAAGAAGAGAGGTCTCATTCCTATGAGCCATTAACATTTTCTTAGGAAATACCTAACTTCCAAATTCAAAACCTTAGTGAAATGGCAATAATCAGGGATGCTTACTCTGTGATGTGGCAACAAGAGCAATACATTATGCAGGCACTGGAACAGAAACACACACTCCATCTTTGTGCAGACATGAAACTAAATGCAACTGTTTAGCTTAGGCAAGTAACTATTTAGTCTTAGTGAGTCCCTAATTGTAAAATGTAGACAGTATTGATATATACCAACACAGTTACTAAAGGAATAAATAGGATAGCCCACATAAAAAACAGTATATAGAAAACATCTATTTGTACTGCTGTTAACAATCATATCTAAGAATCAAGATGGGGCAGGAAAAAAAAACCTGCTAAGATATTTAAATATAATACACAGCATCTCTGCATTAAAAAAAAAAAATCCGAATAAAAAACATTATTCCTGCCTCACGTTGCAAAAAAGGAACTGAGCCAAGATGGTGGTGAAGACCTGTATTTCCAGAGTTAGACAGGAGGATCAGGAGTTCAAAGACATCTGCAACTACCCAGAAATCCTATTCCAGAATAGGCTATTCTTAAACTATCGTGAAGGAACTGTCATTTCTTAGATTCCAGAATAAGGGAGCTGATGAGGAGTGTTACAGTGCAACCATGCAACCATGAGTCAGCCACTTCCTCTCCCAGTGATGTATGGCATTAAAAAGCATACAACTAAGTCAGAGATGTGCTAACTGCTGATCTGACTATTACCCAAAGTAAACATGTATCAAAATATCCCAAAGCATGTCCAATTATGTGTTTATTTTTAAATAAAATATAATGTATTTTAAAGAGCGCATTGCCATCTCTCAATAAGACAAGCTTTCTATGGAGGAGAGGGAGGCAGGGAAGGAGGGGAAGTAGGAAGACAGGAGGAAAGGAGGGAAAAGTCTAACTAGACTATACACAGGACCTATAAGAAAAGTTAAATGATATCAAGGAAGAGTAGCAGATAAAATCAAAATTTGTTATTTCCTACTAAAAACAGCCTAGTTTCTCTGTTGGGAAAAGGGAAAGTACACTTTCAGATAAAATGACACCTAAAGAGAAACGACCACAGTTAACAAGACCCTTCCTAGAGTCCCATGAGAGCTAATCAACTATCATAGAGATACCTTTAAAATTAGGTGTGGACTATATAAATTAGTATAAGAAAATTATTTTGACTTGACAAGAGTGATAAAATATAGTAGTTACATGAGGAAAAAAACCTTTTTTTAAAGAAACAAACAAAACAGATGCAAAATAGCACATCAAAATGTTTTTAACGTCCAAGAAAATGAAAGAAAGCAAATGTAACAAAACATTAGGAAGTGTTCACTCTGGGCACAGCCCTACTATGACCTCTACCTTGCTGTTCAAAGAAGACTCAAATGAGAAAGCTCACACAAAGTTGTACTCAGGATCACTACTGATGCATGCAGGTAGAATGCAACCCTGATTGAAGCCTTACCACTGCACACCGTTTGGACCTTATAAATAAAAACCAGCCCTCCCACTCATCACCAGCAGATGTGCAAAAGCAGGAGCCAAGTAGGTATGCATCACTCAAGTTATTCATAACTAATAATAGTTTCTTTATAATAATAGACATTTACTTATCCATTGTCTCAAGCTTCAAAATCATTTTTCTCAAATGATCAACTTACACACTAATTTGGCAGTACAGTACCAAGATCTGTACCTTAGAACAAAGGAACTTAGCTTCTGATTACCAAACATGAAGCTAAAATACAGTATTAAGAAAATGATGTCTTAAACAGAAAACAACCCCACTATATCTTAGAATATCATATACCATCTGTGAAGTATCCAAAGAAATTATTGTTCTTGTCTCATCTGCAGGACACATCAAGCCATATGACACACTTGTTCCTCCTGTCAAAACAGGAAACAAAACTTTGTTTAAATATTTTGCTTCTGTGACATTTCTGAAACAAATCCCTACTATACAGAACACAAATGGCCTGCTAGCACTAACACCTATCTCTACTTTGCAAAAGCGAACACACTGAAAACAAACTCACCTTTATTTCATGCTGAATGTCAAAAACAGACTACTATGGAACTGAAAGCAATGGGCTATGGCTCCATCCCTGGACACGACTCACTCATGGAAAGCCCTAGCAATTTGTAGAACTCCAAAAACATAATTAGCAAAGATCTAAGCTAATGATCACTGAGGAGAGGTAGCTTAAAAGAAAAAAAGACAAGTCCTGAACAACTAGAAGTACAATCAACTCCTTATTACATAATACATAAATGTCTTTCTGTTAAAGTAACTGTCTTACTCAAAAAGCTTTAATAAATTAAAATAAGAAGCTAAATGCCAGATCATGATATTTAAAAACTAATTTTCATATTCTTTGGTGAAAAGTGATGGTAAAATAGGATAAATAATATATAGACATATTTAAACAACATACTCCCATTTCCTCTTAAGATACTTTGACAAAGGATGTTTTCTTAACAATGAATAATACAATATTTTAAGTTTTTAATTATATCTGTATCACCTCATATCAAAATAAAATTTTAGTTGCTATTTCCATACAGTCTATGTGGGGAAAAAAACCTCTGGAATTCAATTTCCAGAAGACGTAATCCTTACACATCAGTGTAATTTCACCAGGCAAGATTGTCAGTCGCAAATGTGGCACTTGTGGCTATTTACAACCACTTGCTTATAACATCATTTTCAATAAAAGAAGAATTCATAGTTTAGTGGTACCGCGCTGCCTCTGTTCACTAACTAAAAGGAAGTATCAGCTGGAGAGGGAGTCTGGGGCTCCTAGGAATGCGGGATCTGATCTCCACTCACCAATGACAACACAGTGAATGAAGGTAACTTCCTTTGGCTTATTTATTAAAGTCCTGCAGTCTACAACTATAACAACAAACTCAAAGACCAGTTTAAGATAGAAAGTAATGCTAGCTTCCTGTGGTCGGAGGCACTGACTAGCCATCTGGTGAACTTTTAATTCTTACAGCGTTCCAGAATCACTCTGGTGCTCCAAAGACAACAGGTACATTTACACTTTGTTTCAGAAAAATAAAATGATCCCCACAGACATATAGACTAAAAAACTACTAAACAAACATTTTCTTATTTAACATTAAAGCACATCTTCAACTATGATCCATAATAGGAAAAAAAGATGAATTAAAAGTAAGTAACAGCACAAGCACTTTAGGCAGACCTACATACAACACAACAATCACTATAAGCCCATGTTTTTACAATAACTACATTATAATCACAATGCTTGTTTTCAATGGAATACAATTAAAAGTACAAATATTTTAAATAGAACAAATTTAATCATATTAAAATTGAAAAACACAATACGTACCACCAATTGGTATGATACAAAGGTTATATTTGCACGCTAGATTCACAATCTTAACTACATCATCATGACACACTGTTGAAAAGAAAAATGTATTAACTATAGGCATATAAATAAAATTTGCATATTCTTACAAACTAAGGGTCAATAAAACTTGAAAATCTAAACTTTTTCCTTATATACCCATAACATGTTAAATGGTTGTATTAACAGATTCATTTCAACTCTGTAACCATTGCAGACTTTAAAAATTATATTAAAAATGTCTTTCATGTCACATTCTCAAACATTAACATCTCATACAAGGAAGGTCTAATTTTCAAAAACCAATCAATTTACATTGACAAAAGCAATCTACAGCCCTTCCTCCAACATCCCACACATTCCTTTTCGGATCAGGGTAAAGCCTGGAATCACATTAATTCTAGCTGTTATGCCTTGGTAGTCCCCTCTAAATAGGCATTTCCTTATCTGTGACTTTCAAGACAATGACACTTCTGAGAAACCTTAGGCAATTATTTCAAACTACTCTCTGAGTCTGTATGTTTCCCTAAGATCAAACAGAGACTAAACAGTTGGTAGGCATCCCACAGTAGTGAAGCCATGCCTTTCTCAGCATGGTATAGCCAAAGACATGTCTCATTTCTGGTCATCTAACTTTGCTCGTTTGGTTAGGTAGGTACTGTCAACCACTTAACTGTACCAGAAGGATGCTCTATTTCCTGTTGAAATCAATAACTATATAAAGACTATATAAACAGCGTATTTCTCATACTTCACCCACTAGTTTTAGCACTACTGCTTCTTTATTCCTACACAAACAGAGTAGCACATGAATTCCTTCCCTCTGTCTATAACTAAAGCTACCTAAATAACAAAACTGCCGTGGGTGACTGAGTGCCAAGTGAGACGGTACTACTGCAGCTATTCTTGGCAGTGGGGCATGAGTGAGGTTTTAAGGAGGGAGCTATGCGGCATGGGTTTCTTAAGATCAGTCTCACAGAACATTGATCACATGGAAGACAAAGCTTAGAGGCAAGGAAACTGAAAATTATAATATTAACTGCTAAGGTCCTGGACAAGAAAGAAGGGAGTTAGGAGAAACAGGCAAACTGATACATACTTGTGTAAGCAAAGGTCTTGTTTTACAAATGTTATAATTATCTATTTCAGTTTGCACAGAGCTAGAAATACACAGCCTTTGAATAATAGTTCCTTTGTGGGACAGGAAACCCAAAATCTTAACTATGCTAAACCACATACTCCACCATGAATCTGCAGGTCCACTTCAACTTTTAATCAAACTCTATGTTTAGGCTGTCACTATCAGCAGTTTAAAAGATAATATATGATGGTTAGGAATGGCTTCATAAATAAGAGCTCTTGCTTTGAAAGCATAAGAACCAAAGATAAATTCTTCACTACCTAAATAAGAAGCCAGGCATGGATGTATGTGCCTGTAATTCTAGCACTGGGCACATGGAAGACAAAGGTAGGTAGATCCTGAGAGCTCAGTAACCAGTCAGCCTAGCAGAAATGGTAAGTTTCTGGTCCAGTGAGAAACTGTCTCACACGGCAGTAAGAGAAAAACAGAAAGATACCCAAAGGTCCTGCCCCAGCTTCTGTACACATGTGCAAAGATATATACATATACATTCACAAGTATGCACTATACCATATACTGGGGTTGGGGGCAGAAAGAAGGGAAGACAGGGAGAGAAAGAGAGAGGGAATAAGAATAATTAAAGTTAATTTTGCTAATCAAAATTTTGGGTTTTACATGCACACACATCAGTGGAAATCTGGGTTACAGGAGTGCCTGGAAACAAAAGACATCCACACTATATGACTTTCACAATGGAAAAAAAGCCCTGCCTGAAGGGCATTGCCTCATCTTAAATCAGCAAAGTTCCATATAGTATAATTAAGATGCAAATTTAACAGATTTAAAGACAACTTCAATTGACTTCATAGGTGTCTATGCAAGTATGCATATGTGTGGAACTCCAAACTACAAAAGGAAACAGAACTATCTCCACATCTTGAAACAGCTAAATTCCACAATGCCTCAAAATGCATTGCTGCAAATTACAACCTTCTTTCAAAGCTTGTTCTTATTCGAAGGAAAACTAGGTTTCAGAACCAGTAAGAAATTCATATTAAAATTAAATAAATTTCTCAGAGAACTGACAATGTGTTTGGAAACAAACTATACTAAAACGATATAAAGAGTTAAAACAACTTACTTGGCCAAACAACTATATCAGGAATCCGCTCCAACATCCCTTCCCTGAGCAAAAATATCTCATGAAGACAATGACCTGTTTTGTGGTTAAAAAGAAAAATGCAAAACAATTTAACTTACAGGAAGCTTCTAAATAATGTCAGAAAGCCAATATGAGCAGCCTCAGCGTGAGCACCAGTGTGAGCAACCCCAGTGTGAGCAGCATCAGTGTGGACAGCCCCAGTGTAAGCAACCTACCGTGAGCTCTGAACACTCGATCATCTGCTTCCTGTGAGTAGGAAATACGAGTTTCTTTAAGTTCCTGAAGGAAATCTTCATTTACAATAGAGGGAGGTACTTCACTAGGATTTAAGGATGCCTAAAAAATAAAATTGGTTTCTTTGACTTATTTCTAAATAACAAATTTTGATCCCCTCTGCTAGGAGAATGATTTTAAGATGCAGTTTCTTTTAACATTCAATATATGCTAAATACATAGGAAAGTATCAAGTCATAAAGTCCAACTTGGTAACAGTAGCAAAGTATAAATTGTTGGTTAATCACATCCCATAATATGTATAACAGGGAGACTATGCTTTCTCTTTGTTTCTCTGGCTCCCTTTGTAACTGACAATGAAGAGGCAATCAACAATAGAGAAGACAGGGAAGTCTTAAACCTCTAGTTTAAAAGTATCAGGTGCTTTTTATATTGAAAAATTTCACCTATGGTTAAAATTTACCATCTCCTGTTCTTCTATGGCCATTTTAAAATTGCACGGAAAATTTCATGTTAAGTAATAAAATTATTATTGGGTAGTTTAAAAGTACATGACTTGGGGCTAGAGAGAGGCCCATTAGTAAGAGCACCTGACTGCTTTTCCAGAGGTCCTGAGTTCAGTTCCAAGCAGCACTAGGTTGCCCACAACCATCTGTCCTGGGGTCAGACTCCTGGTGTGCATGAACACAGAGCACTCACATGCATAAAATACGCATGACCTAATTATAAACTTGGTACTCAATTTCATCGAGTACCTTCAATCCATCCTTCAACTGTAAAGTTAAAACCACATGTCATTCATCTTCCACGAGCCTCAGTTTCCTCACATGTTAAAGTAACAACCAAACGTGTACTGCTACTATATGGAAATCAGATTAAGTAAACTAAGTGCTGTGAAAAGCACCTAAGAGCATGTCAAACATATAAACTGGAATATAAAAAAAGTTAATACAGAATTTGAGATAAAGAATATATAAGAAAATACAAACAAAAATGTCTGATATTTCTATTCTTTCTTAGTCTGTTAAAGTACTTTATTCATTCAGATAAATATTTACTTTTACTCCAAAAAGCCAGGCACTGTTCTAGGCACAATGGGGATGGGTGGTGGAAGGGTGTGGTCTTGCCTTCATAAAATTTATAGTTACTAAAAGTTACTTATAGTTACTAAAAGGAAATAACCAAGAGAATTCTAACAAATATGCTATCTGGCACTTTAAATTATTAAAAAACAGAAGTGCAGTTAGAAACTGTTGTGAGCCATCATGTGGGCTCTGGGAACTGAACCCAGATTTTCTGCAAAAGTATTAAGTGTTCTCAACTACCAAGCCATTGCTCCAACTCCTAGAAACAATTACATGCTGAATACAGGAAACAAGACAGCCCATACTTATGGACTGAATATACAATTGGAGAGATGAGATGACTACCATGCAAAGCAAAATAACAGTAAGAATAATGACAATATAAAGAAATGCCAAATATTTCATTGGTTTCATATGCATAAAGTTTAAGAATTTTTTTTGAAGATTTTGGCTTTATTCTTTTCTGTAAGGACCTCATTATGTAGCTCAAGCTAATCTCAAATTTATAATCTTCCTGCTTCTACCACCCAAGTGTTGGGATTTCAGGCATGGGCCACTGACACCAGGTCAGATTAAAATTCTTTAACACCACTATAAAACTAATTAAAATATTGATTATCTTATTCACATTTTCACTAAATGTAATTCTTCATGTATCCTATCTGTTCTAATATTAAAAATTATATGGAATAATATTAAAGTATATTTTCACCTTAAATTAGCACATATCCTAGATAACATTTACAATAATATCGGCCTCTTATTTTAATATAAGCCTTGTGTAAAACCAACAGCTCTCACAGAATGAACTAGTTTGCACTAAGTGCCACCCAGTACGAAACAAAACAGTTTTTACACTCAGCTCAATTTAGAATCACCAAGGCACAGAAAGTCTGCCTGATAAATATGGCCAATTCTGAGGTTGGGATCTAGATCTCTAACACTAGAAAAACTGAACTAAACAAGCCCAGTATAATAGACTTCACAAGAAAACTGCACCAAACAATGTAACAAGCTCTGATAAGAGCTGAGCAGGCATGAAAAGCACAACTGAACATTTATAACTACTGTTTGCTTACTTTAGAGGTAGTTTTATGCTCCAGATTTACTCCAAGGGTTTTCTGGATCCAGTCTTTCAAAGTTGGTAAAGCCAAGCCACTGAGAGGGTACCTAAGGTACAATAGATAAAGAATATTAGAGAGAGGTATCTTTATCCAAAAGTGAAGTTTAGATCTTGCTTCTAGGAATAATCAAGCAGTTCCTAAACGTTTTATTAACAAAACTGCTTGCATACTACATATTTAATTACAGAGTACCCAGATCCATGTTTGGGGACTTATTCCTGTATGGGATTTGGAGACAGGGGAGAACTGCCTACCCCTGAAACAAATATGCCAAGTACCCACCTTCCCCATGCCCACCTTTAAGAGCTGACAGAATATACCTTTGTCCTTCCTTTCTCTCATGTCTTTAGATCAGAACTCAGTGATGCAGGAAACGAAGCCTTAGGGAACCCATACTGGTTACAGAGGGAGCACTGCAAATCTCCAGTCTCTAAAACCAGCAGGTAAATTCTCTACTTCTATCACTACCTAGATTGAGGTTCTCAACTTATGGATTGCAACCCCTTTGAGAGTAGAACCAACCTTTCACAAGGATCGTCTATCAGACATGCTGCACATCAGATATTCAGATTATGATTCATAACAATAGCAAAATTGCAGCTGTGAAGTAGCAACAAAGATTATTTTATGGTTGGGGTCACCACAACATGAAGAACTGTCTAAAAGGGTCTCAGCATCAGGAAGGTTGAGAACCACTGCCCTAGATAAAGTCTCTTAGGAGCACCACCACATCTTCTCTGCTCTTAATTAATGCTGTCCTAACAACCTTAAAGGTGTTACCTTTCATTATAACCCAAACCCAGATGGAAATTACCAGACTTAAAAAGAAATTCACTTCCAATAAATCAAAAGCATGGAGGACCAGCGGTGGCTGGATGACTCTTTTGGATCCTGATTCAGAAAACTATCTTTAGAAATCTTTTGTAAGAAAACAGGGCCAACGAGAATATGGATTAAAACATTAGATATTTTAACAAGCTTTGTTACTTTAGAAAAGTGATCATATTAATTAATATATAAATGATTATATTAGAGCTTAATTTAAAAAATATAAAAGTATAGGATTATGATGCCATCAGAATTTAAAATATAGGATATAAGGGAATATAGAAAAATGCTGGTAACTTTATGCTTAGAGGAGGGACCATCATACTACCATTCCCTTTTTCATGTGTTTAAAAAATATAGGAAGAGGAAAAGAGGAATAAAATAAACTTAAAAAGCAGAGTTACCTTTTCCCAGTCAGCTCAACCTGGCCCTTCTTATTGAAGAAGAACTTGGAATCATTATAGCCCCATCCATTCCATTTCATAACTTCTTGTCTAATGAGAAGAAAACATACATATGTATATACACATAAAAGACCTATGCTGGTGCTAGACATAGCTCAGCAATTAAAAGCGTGTGCTGTTCTTACAGAGGATTTGAGTTTGGCAACCAGAACCCACATGTGGTGGCTCACAACCACCTGGAGAACCCAACACCTCTAGATTCCACATGCACGTCACATACCCACATACACCACTCTCATGCATTCTCTCTCTCTCTCTCTCTCTCTCTCTCTCTCTCTCTCTCACACACACACACACACACACACACACATATAATACACAGAGACACATAAGTATATATGATGGAGGAAGGTCATTGGCTAATAAAGGAACTGCCTTGGCCCATTTTATTGGTTAGGACATAGGTAGGTGGAGTAAACAGAACAGAATGCCGGGAGGAAGAGGAAGTGAGGTCACTCTCGACAGCTCTCCTCTCGGGAGCAGACGCCTGAGAGAGACGCCATGCCCCGCTCCCCGGATGAAGCTCCGACCCAGGATGGACATAGGCTAGAATCTTCCCGGTAAGACCGGTTCTCACAGATTATTAGAGATGGGTTGATCGGGATAACAGAATTAGCCAGTAAGGGCTAGGGCTAAAGGGCCAAGCAGTGTTTAAAAGAATACAGTGTCCGTGTAATTATTTTGGGGTATAAGCTAGCCGTGCGGGCGGCTGGGGTGCTGGGGACGCAGCCCCGCCGCCCTTATTACTACATATATATATATATATATATATATATATATATATATATATATATGTATATCCTATATACATAACATCATACTATCAGTCATACTACCAGCAATCACCACCATTTCCACTTTAATACTAAGAAAACGTGCAAAACCACAAAGGCAAACCCCAAAATCAACTCACTTATACAGACTTTCATGTGCCGACCTCTGAGCCCCTCAGCCCTTTGTCTTACTCTAGTACTCTTCCCAAAACACACAAAGCATTCACGAACTAGGCTCTCAATGGGTATCCGTGTGCTCACCACTGCAGGGGTAAAGCAAAAGATACCAGAAAAAATGTCATAGTCTCTCATTTCAGTCTTTTCATGTTGAGTTTACCTCTTAAAACTAATATTACTATTCTTTATTTTTATCTCTCCCCCACCTCTCTCTCTTAAACACACACACACAAAAAAACTAAACATAACTTTTAACTCTTTTAAAAGTAACTTTTGCTAAACATTTCAAAACCAACCATTTAAAAGATCTTATATCTATTACTATTAGTTGAAATAAAAATGAGAACATTAAAAAGCCTACATATTAACTATTCTAAATATAAACTCACTGTAATAAGCAGTAGATGCTACACAGTGAGCTACAATCAATAAATTTAATTCATTCAAAGATAAATGAAAAGAAGTGTGATTATAAGATCAATACTTCACTTTGTACACTAAGTTTAAAGCATGGGAGATAGCCTGGCAGGCTCAAAATCCTGAAATTGATCCTTAATAGTGTTAAGTAAATAAATCGTAAGATGGTCTGAATAACTGCGGTTAAAACTAGGGACTCACTTGAACAGAAACCTGACTTTCACATGTGCTAGGAATACATCAGAATTTTTAATTTTTTGCTATAATGAAAAAGACCAATATAAGGTAGTTCAACTACTAGCAGACACATTAATAAAGCAGATTTAGGGCTGGAGGGATGGCTCAGAGGTTAAGAGCACTGTCTGCTCTTCCAGAGGTCCTGAGTTCAATTCCCAGCAACCACATGGTGGCTCCAAACCATCTGTAAAGAGATCTGGCGCCCTCCTCTGGCGTGTGGAGGCAAAAAGTTGTATACATAATAAATAAAAATTAAAAAAAAATAAAGCAGATTTAAAATATTAGTGCTACCTTTTAGGCCATAAATCAAGTCTTAACAAACTAAAAAGAAAATAATCTTTTATACCCTAGTCTTACAGTGATAGCGAGAAACTACAGAGGCTATACAAACTCATGGAGACCGAACAATGTACTCTGTGGTAACCGGAGAAATCAAGGGGGAAATTTAAAAATTACTAGACTCAAATTAAAAAAAAAAAATCTTATCGGAACCTCTGAGATAGAGCAAAGGTGGTTCCGAGAGCAGCTTACATGTCTGTGTTTACATCTCAACTGCAGAGCACATTCAGACTTAATGAACTCCTTAGGAAGGGAACAACAGGTCAAGCCTGAAGGCAGTAGATGGGAAAAATAATAAAGACCAGAGGCGAGGTTAATGAACAGAAACTAAAACAGAGGGTGAAGGACCACAGAACCAAAGTATTGGTACTTTGAAAATATAAAAAGACATAGAAAAGTCAGTGATAGCTTTATAAACCACCTACACTCTTCAGCTTCAACGAAACTACCAATCTAGATCTACAGATAACCACTAATGACTCTATCGGCTTTCAATATTTCATTTTTCATTTCCAAATGTTAGATTTCACACTCTCAAAGACCACTGTCACCAAAATCAGCAGTGCACATCACAGGAAACACACTGGTCTGAGCATGTGCAGAGCCACACTTAAGTATGGTGTTAGTTCTAGTTTACAAGGGTTCCGGGTGTGATCTTAGCTACTGAAATAAATTAGTAGCAAATGTTTCAGCTATGCAGCTTGAAATGAAAATAACTAAATGAAAACTGTTTTCTACTCAAAAAGGCTAATGTCATATTAATTCAAAATAAGCTTGCCACTATACCCAGCTAGAAACCCATCTCTTTTTAAATACAGTAAAAGCACTAATTCAAAATAAACAAAGATGCTCTCAAGAGAAAGTACTTTTCAAATTTTCCGTAATTCTCAAGGGAGAAGGAAACAAAAATTGAGAAGTAAATTTTTATAACAATTATTGGTATAGACTAAAGGTTTTTCAAACAAACACAACATGAGTATAGTATAATGAATCAGATACAAGTAACCAAATATGTACAAAAAGTCTCTATACATAAAGTTGAGACAAAACCAAAAGTTTTCTCTTTGAAATAATGGTTTCCTAGAACTAGGAATGCAGAGGCAAAAGGATCACAAGTTCAAGGCTAGTCTAGGTTACATAGTGAGACCCTATCTCAAAAGGAAAAATAGCAATAAAAATAACAATAAAATCATGGTTTGTTATCAATAAAATATGGTCTCTATTTAAAAAAATGCTCAAACATCTCAAGAGCATCTACTCAAAGATTAAATTTATAGATAGGTCACATTAATGCCTATTTTCTTTCTATTTTAAGACAGAGTCTCTACATAGCCCTCACTGCCCTGGAACTTGCTATGTAGACCAGGCTGGCCTCAAATTCACAAAGATCTGCTGGGATTAAAGGTGTGGGCTTCACCTGGCTTAATATTTTCCCCTAATCCTACAACATTCCTACATAATGTGGAAGACGGTGTAGAATAGACTTCTAGGAATACCTTTACAAGAAAACTTCACAGCTCAGGGCTGAAGAGATACTTAGTATATAAAAACATTTGATGCAGGGCACTCAAACCTGAGTTCAGAGCCCAGCGACAACATAAAAAGTCAGTTGGGCCACGCTCCTGTGACTGGAAGGAAGAGAGAAGCAGGAAAAGAAGATAGCTGGGGTAGTATTTCAATTAGTTGTCAGTCTAGCTCCAGGTTTAGTCTTGTTTTTCAAGACAGGGTTTCTCTGTGGCTTTGGAGCCTGTCCTGGAACTAGCTCTGTAGACCAGGCTGGTCTCGAACTCACAGAGATCCACCTGCCTCTGCCTCCCGAGTGCGGGTATTAAAGGCGTGCGCCACCACCGCCCGGCAAAAGAAAGTTTTCCACAACTAAACCATAGGTAAATGAGTATAATCTCCTATTTCCTGGAGCTAACTACACCCAATTTGATGTCTTCAAAACCTGATTCTTCCTACTGTCAAAAAGAAGACGGTTGGCTTGATTTTACTCTATTAAAAAAAGTTTTGCAAACTTGCAGAACCAAGTAGTACAAATATGAAAAAGAATTATTTGTTGCAATAAAAGAAAATGAATACTTATAAAATAGCATCACATATACACAAGGTGGCAGTATTTTCCTAGGAGGTGTGTGGTTTGCAAACACCATTTTCCCACTCCCCAGGCCTGTTACTTGGCCATTCAGTGGAATGTTTAGACCTAGTACTGCTAATCCTAATCCATAGGGAGCTCCCTTATTTAGTCCTAATGGGAAGGCTCACTTCTGGGTCTGTACCTAGATACTGATCATTACATCCCCACTCCTGTCAATAGTACATTACAAGCTTGGGGGGGGGGGGAGTCTAAGTATGTGGCCTCTACCATTACTTTTTCTAAGCAAGGTATTCTCATGCAAAAACCAGAAAAAGGAAAAAGATAATTCACCTACTTTTCTCTGGGTTAACAATTTTTTTAAGATTAGTTAGCTAATAACTTTTAAAGCTTTTCTGATAAAATTCTAATGAAAGACACCTCACTTCTTACTCAGTCAAGATGAAGGTAAGTTTTGACCGGTCTGTTCCAGTTTGGAAGCATGAGACGAGAGGAGTCAGTAGTCCCAGTGCTGGCCAAGCCAACCTCAGCATCAATCACACAATGTATAGAAATTCTAACCCTCTTCAAGATTCTCTAATAAAGATCTTTATTCTCTGGCTTGTGATGAACTGCTTCAAGGCTGGTACAACCAGAAGGAGATCATGTGAAATAGAAGTGATGAGAGCCAGGCACTCAGGAGGCAAAGGCAGAAGCAGGAGACTGTGACTTTGAGGTCAGTCTGGTCAATCGAGAGAGTTCTAGGACAACCAGAGCTACACAAAGAAACCCTGTCTCACAAAACAAAAACAAAAACAGTGATGAGAAAGATGGCAATACACACACACACACACACACACACACTTATTGAAATAAAAAATCTCATAGACCAAGGTCAATTTTGTAGAGGGAGAGATTTGACTGAGGGAAATCCTACAAAAAAGATTACCACCACTTTATTTAAAAAGTGGGGGGTAGTCGGGCGGTGGTGGCGCACGCCTTTAATCCCAGCA